TGAACCGCGTCTTGAAGAAGCACCACCCGAAGGTATAGTAACAACTCCAGAAACCCTCCGGTTGCTACGTGTGGTGCTGACTGTTGCATGTAAGCTGCCATGTAGGTTTCAACAAACGGAAACACGTCGCGCAGGAGACATTCTGGGGAATCGATTGCCGCTCGATCCAAGAAAAATGTGCGCCTATCCGGAGGGAATCCAGCAAGAGACCGCATAGCTTCGCGTGGTAAAGCGCTCAGGTAGCATCCCTCCATTGCAGATGCATTCCATCTTCCTAATCGTCTAATCTGTGATTCCGTAGCACCAGCCAGTTCAGCCATTCTGGCACCTGACCCTCGAGCAGCATGGGTCTTGGCCTTCGAGCGCATCCCTAGCGCAGAAAACGCTTTAACGGTAGCGTCGTAATGCGCACGGTATGTCATTGGAGTTGTGATGTCTTTGTTTGACTTGAGTAGCTTAATGTCGTACCATCGTTCAGGCACTAAAAAATCTGGAACCGCTTCCTTTTGTACAGACCACCGCCAGAAGAGATACAGAGCGAGGGCACCTACAGGACACACCTCCACATTGCGATGTCTAATACAAGACCCAAATTCACGTCGCCGAAACTGATTTGTCTTGCCTTGTTCCATGATCATCACTAACGCTCGACACTCTGTAAATCCTTCATGTTCCAATATCACGCTGAACAAGTCTGGTAAATCTAAATTACGCGCAGATTCACCTCTTAGAAGACACGCGTGGCAAAGGAAATGGCTCATTCTGTTGCGCAAGTCACTGCCAGTATTTAGGTTCATATAGTAACGAGAAATGGAAACGAGATCATTCGTCGTGCAATATTCATCTAACAGCGAACCAACTCCGCGATCCGCATACTCTCGCTTGTTCTTGGCGTGGCTTTCCCGCTTCAGCGACGTCAACAACCCTTTAATGAGACTGTTGCGAGGATGCGGGTGCGAATTCGCCCCTCGGCTTTGCTGATCGCTGTGCAAATCTGAGACTGCATTCACGTACATTTCTACTGTAGCACCACTAACTTTGCGGGCTGAACCTTTGGTGCGGACTTGTCGATCGACCACTTCTTCTTGAAGAAACAAGTGCATTTTGGCTGCAGTAACCTGGTACCGAGTAGTCTCGTGGAAACCATTTCTTTCACACCATGCCTTAAATTCTCGCTGTTTCGGTGCATACGCTCGTATCGTGTAGGCCAGTCGTGCTTCACGACAGCGGTCCAGGGTCGCATGCGCGCTCTCTTCGAGTTCGACCTGCAGTCCTGGTGGCTCCATGGTGTCTCTACAACGTTAGTGTAGACCGCACACTTAACATATAATTATTCCGTAACATAGGTTTTACCTATTCACGACGGTCCGTCTTCACAGAGGGACCTCGTCCCCAACACTTAGTGCAACCAAGTATAAGATACCCTACCCCTAAGAAGATAACCACTCATTATCGGAAGTGGACGAGGGATGCCGTCCCTTGCTGCGTCACCATCTCGTCCCTGGCCCGTCCCTCCAGATAGGCAACTGTCTGAAGTGGATGGCAGTTGATAACAGCAGTTATCCGGATTGCATCCGGACTGACAGAAAAAAAGACACAACAGAAAAAATTCCGACGTGGCGAAAGACTCCGTCGTTCTTGTGGGAGGTGATGGCCCCTTGGGCGGCGGATGGTGGCTGCGACGGTGGCGGCTACGGTAGCACTGGCGGTAGCGACGACACTGACGGGGACTGTGGCGAAACCTACGGGTGTAATTGAAGAAACGATAGGTGCTGTCGAGACAGAGCCGGAAATGGGCGCGGAAGGAGACGAGCTCTTGCAGGTATCAAGGGTGCCGGACGCGCCCGAACCCGTCGTGGAGGCTGTGTCGGTGGAGGTCGGATCCGTCGCTGCAGAGGTGGTGGAGACCGTCGCCGTGGTAGAAGAGATCGTAGATGCAGTGAGTGCGATGAAAGGCGCTGCTATCAGCGTGTACGAACCGGAGGTCCTGGAGCCAGCGACCGAGACGATCGTGGCAGACCCGGACGTGGAGGCGGCCATGGAGAATCTGGTCACCGACGTGGTGAGTGGTGCAGCGATTGCCATGGAGCCCGTGGTGAGTGATGATAGCCGTGCAGCGGAGACAACGGAGACGGCACCTGACGTGCTGGAGGAGTCTGCTGTGCCTGCGGAGACGAAGCTTCAGACAGACGACATCGACACGTCGGTGGAGGTCGGATCCGTCGCTGCAGAGGTGGTGGAGACAGCTGCTCAAGCTCAACATGGAGAGTACGAGACGGGTGGCTACTTCGCTCTGGTAGGTGATAACCAAGAAGGCGATTGAGTCGTTGGGGCACTGTGAGGTCGACATGACATGCAGTACACCAAGAAAGGCATACACGAAGGTAAATTAGGGAGTTATGTATGGCGTTAAAGGTTTGAGTTTGTGGTATCCCGCTGACGCGTACAAATGTTATTTTAACAAATTACTGTATGTATTCGTGCCTTTGACAGATTACTGCCGGCCTTTTAAACTCTCACTCAACGCGTTCAGAGTAAGCTGAGACTGTGTACGTTGGCCCTCGAGAATGCACACTGCCTGTGCTTCACTAACATGCTGTTGTTGCGTCACCAGAGTAACACGATCAATAATTCGCTTACGACGAAAGAAGAACCGTTTTTCTGCGGGGCTGTTGCGCCAGTTTGAGCCGTAGCGCTCCTCCAGGTCGCGTACCGCTGGACCTCCATGGATACCGGTCGTCCATTCTTGCCAAACTTGTTGCACTGTTTTTATGGATCTCACTAACTTGTAAGTTGGAGGCAATGGTGCATGCTGAGACGCAGCAACAGGGGTAGAAGTTGATGATTGTGCTGATCCCCAGTCAACAGTAAGACGGACCGCTGAAGACCCCGATGTAAGTCGTGAAAATGCTGTCGCTATATGGTTAATTGATGTACTGATCTCGTTGATCTTGTTGTCGATGTGCGCTATTGTTTGCTGCTGCTGCTGCTGCTTTAGGTGGTCCATCAAGTCTGGAACAACTTCGTGTAAATGCGTTGTCTGTGGCGACTTTTCGGTGAGCATTTTTGCTTTTAATTCCAATGCAAATGGGTCAAATCCTGTCGAGTTAAACGGTGGGTGCATCCATATCTTGTGTGTAAGGTGAAGGTCGCGCAGCTGAACCGCGTCTTGAAGAAGCACCACCCGAAGGTATAGTAACAACTCCAGAAACCCTCCGGTTGCTACGTGTGGTGCTGACTGTTGCATGTAAGCTGCCATGTAGGTTTCAACAAACGGAAACACGTCGCGCAGGAGACATTCTGGGGAATCGATTGCCGCTCGATCCAAGAAAAATGTGCGCCTATCCGGAGGGAATCCAGCAAGAGACCGCATAGCTTCGCGTGGTAAAGCGCTCAGGTAGCATCCCTCCATTGCAGATGCATTCCATCTTCCTAATCGTCTAATCTGTGATTCCGTAGCACCAGCCAGTTCAGCCATTCTGGCACCTGACCCTCGAGCAGCATGGGTCTTGGCCTTCGAGCGCATCCCTAGCGCAGAAAACGCTTTAACGGTAGCGTCGTAATGCGCACGGTATGTCATTGGAGTTGTGATGTCTTTGTTTGACTTGAGTAGCTTAATGTCGTACCATCGTTCAGGCACTAAAAAATCTGGAACCGCTTCCTTTTGTACAGACCACCGCCAGAAGAGATACAGAGCGAGGGCACCTACAGGACACACCTCCACATTGCGATGTCTAATACAAGACCCAAATTCACGTCGCCGAAACTGATTTGTCTTGCCTTGTTCCATGATCATCACTAACGCTCGACACTCTGTAAATCCTTCATGTTCCAATATCACGCTGAACAAGTCTGGTAAATCTAAATTACGCGCAGATTCACCTCTTAGAAGACACGCGTGGCAAAGGAAATGGCTCATTCTGTTGCGCAAGTCACTGCCAGTATTTAGGTTCATATAGTAACGAGAAATGGAAACGAGATCATTCGTCGTGCAATATTCATCTAACAGCGAACCAACTCCGCGATCCGCATACTCTCGCTTGTTCTTGGCGTGGCTTTCCCGCTTCAGCGACGTCAACAACCCTTTAATGAGACTGTTGCGAGGATGCGGGTGCGAATTCGCCCCTCGGCTTTGCTGATCGCTGTGCAAATCTGAGACTGCATTCACGTACATTTCTACTGTAGCACCACTAACTTTGCGGGCTGAACCTTTGGTGCGGACTTGTCGATCGACCACTTCTTCTTGAAGAAACAAGTGCATTTTGGCTGCAGTAACCTGGTACCGAGTAGTCTCGTGGAAACCTTTTCTTTCACACCATGCCTTAAATTCTCGCTGTTTCGGTGCATACGCTCGTATCGTGTTGGCCAGTCGTGCTTCACGACAGCGGTCCAGGGTCGCATGCGCGCTCTCTTCGAGTTCGACCTGCAGTCCTGGTGGCTCCATGGTGTCTCTACAACGTTAGTGTAGACCGCACACTTAACATATAATTATTCCGTAGCATAGGTTTTACCTATTCACGACGGTCCGTCTTCACAGAGGGACCTCGTCCCCAACACTTATTAATAGTATAGGATACCCTACCCCTAAGAAGATAACCACTCAATATTTTCGCTCGTGTCACGTCTTCAGTAGCACAAGGCGCCGTATCAATAGTATTAATTTAATACAGACTCCCCGATTAAGCCACAGCAATGTCAATTCCAGCTTGCTGATGAGTGCTAATTTGACACAGAGCTACTAATTGACTAAAAGCTATAGGTACAAGTCGGGCGATGATCCACTTCATTTACCCACAGCAAGTGCCTTGTCGACAGTAGCTGCTGCCTTAAGCAGCAAATAAAAGTAAGCCCACCTTCTTATTGCATCGTACAAGTAAATCAGCATACTTTCGTCACTTACCATGCGTTTCGAGGTGTTCAACTCCTGCCAGTGACCCATTGGCAATGGGTCACAACTTGCCATGGCCTCCGCCACAACTCTCATTTCTCGATTTTCCTTCGTCTGAGCAAGCACCTTCACCTCTAACTCTGGAAAATGGGCTCCTACCTTTCCATCGTCAACAACACCGACGACCCGTGGACCTGCAAGATCGGACCTGATGAGGCTGCACTTGAGATCGCTGGCGTTGCCATCTCTGTCGTGGGAACTCTCGCCAGTGCCCTCGGCACAGGCGGTGTTGCTCCTGTGGCCTCCGCTCTCGCCGCGAATGGAGTCGTAAAAGTATTTGGGGTATCAGCAAAGGCCTTAGCTTCATCAGCAGAAGCAATCTCCGAGGCGATTTCAGCCGCTGGTTCCGTCTCGGAGTTCGGCCTTTCCGTTGCGCAAGGCATCAACGACCACCTCGTCACGGACGGCTACGTTAGCATCGCTCCCGGCGAGAAGCACCAATGGGGCAAGATGAGCCTCTCGCTCTGGCAGCAAGGAACGTGTGTCCGCACCACCATCGTCGATGAAAAGACCGTGATTACCGACACGCTGTACATGCGCCCGATCTTCAGTGGAGCCACCGACAACTCGAACCTCGACCACGAAATTCAGTTCTGGATCGACAAGTTTGGCCTCGAGACGGAGACTGTGAGTGGCACGCCGGACCAACAGAGTCGCCACCACCATCACCACCACCGTCACCACCACAAAGAAGGAGGCCACCACCACAAAGAAGGAGGCCACTACCACAAAGAAGGAGGCCACCACCACCATCACCACCACAAAGATGGAGAGCAGCAAGATGGTCAGGTTGTTTACTTCTACGGCAACGACACCAACACATACGACCCGAACTTTAACTATAGCTAGGCTGTCCACGCTGGACCCTAGCAAGCGTTTGGCGGACCGCAGCACACTTGAATCGTTGTCGCTTAGTTTGTGGAAGTATAATTCACTTGTTTTAAACCACAAATGCAGTTGGTGTTTTTTCTTCGCTACTACCGGTTGTTATTTGCACTATACCGGTAGTTGAAAGCCAAGCTTTGTTGATATTGCAGTTGCAAATCCAGAGTCGGCGATGATTCACTTCGTTTATCGGGCAGGAAATGACCCGTCTATAGTACTGACTGAGGGAAGGCCGCCATGACGACCTGGCCATTGCCGCGCTAGGGCAGCTAAATCAGGTTGCTTTACCAATGGCTTCGCGGTGTTCGATCCTAGTCACCGACGTCATCCAGCACGAGTTACCCGCCACGATCCTCATTCCTCGATTCTCCTCCTTCTGAGCAAGCACCGGCACTTTCACTTCTGCAAAATGGGCTCCTACCTTTCCATTGTCAACAACACCGACGATCCGTGGACTTGCAAGATCGGACCCGATGAGGCGGCACTCCAGATCGCCGGCATCGCCGTCACGGTCGTCGGAACTCTCGCCACTGTCATCGGCACGGCTGGCGCTGCTGCTCCTGTGGCCTCTGCTCTCGCCGCAAATGGAGTCGTGTCCGTATTTGGAGTATCAACCAGCGCGCTAGTTGCAGGTGCTACTGCTGCAGCCAGCGTCACCTCTGCAGTTGCGATCACCGGCTCGGTGTCCGGGTTCGGCATCGCCGTCGCGCAAGGCATCAACGACCACCTCATCACGGACGGATACGTCAATATCGCAGCTGGCGAGGAACACAAGTGGGGAAAGATGAGCCTCTCGCTCTGGCAGCAGGGAACTTGCGTACGCACCACCATCGTCGATGAAAAGACCGTCACTACCGACACACTGTACATGCGCCCGATCTTCAGTGGAGCAACCGACAACTCCAACATTGGCCATGAAATTCAGTTCTGGATTGACAAGTTTGGTCTCGAGACAAGTACCGTGACGGCTACATCGGAACCGCAGAGCCGGCACCACCACCACCGTCGCCACAAACAAGGAGGTCACCACCACAAAGATACTGAGCAGCAAGATGGACAGACGGTTTACTTCTACGTCAACGGCACCAACACGTATGACCCGAACTTCAACTATAACTAGATCGGTCAGATTGGGCACCAGTTAGAGTTTGCCGGATCGCAGCGAATCAAATTGCTTGCTTTGCGGACGTATCAGGTTTTAGATAATGCAATTGACACATTGAGTTTGTAGTACATAAAATCTCGCATTATTCACATGCATATCTCCCTGTTCAACCAGTACAGCCAATACATCCTTTTTTGTATTGCAAATAACCTCTTTCCCTGGCCCAGGAGTACCGGTGGCCATTGCTTGCTTAAAATCTATGAGTACTAAAGCGATGGCATCAATGATAACATGTACTTCGAAATATTAGCAACGGAAACAAAATGAAGGTAATTTGTCGTGACAATCCGGGTGCAGCTCAGGTAAGGCTTAACGGATCTCGTTGACTCTAGATATCCACACCAGGGTACGAAAAGCGTGAGCAACAGACATACCACAGTATAACGTTAGTGGCGCTGCTACATTGATCATCTTTACTGCAACGCAAATAGGTTCATTGCGTTGGTGCTTTCTTCACACGGCAATAATCCAGCAAGACACACGCGTTGCTGAATTACTATCAATCAAAATATGCCGGTACTCTTTGCTCCAAAAGCGGCGTGTCCTCAAAACCTTTTTCTGGATCCACAAAAACGAAATACCGGTAATCAGAACCAAGAACGACTACCAAAATCGCGATCAAGGTCAAACGGTCGTTGACTCAGCGGCTGCAAATCATGCAACGAGAATCCACTGGACGCGACTCGTTCCTCCCATTGATGTTGTCACAGCCACGAGCTCACAGCCGCGCAGCAATTGGTGAGCCTATTTGGCTGCTATACTAGTAGCTACTCGCAACGACAAGCTCTCGGCTTCCTCATTATCAAATTCGCCTCCACGAAGCAAGACAGCAACAGCAACAACAACAGCGCTCCAACGCCAACATGGGCTCCTACATCTCTATCGTCAACAACACCGAAGATCCGTGGACTTGCAAGATCGGTCCTGACGAGGCAGCGCTCAAGATCGCCGGCATCGTCATCTCTGTCATTGGTGCGGCTGCTACCGTTATCGGAACGGCTGGGGCTGCTGCTCCAGTCGCCTCTGCGCTTGCAGCCAACGGGGTGGTGTCTGTCTTCGGGGTGTCTACAAGTGCGCTCGCTGCAGGAGCAACTGCTGCCGCCAGCGTGAGCTCTGCGGTTGCCATCACTGGCTCCGTCTCAGGATTCGGTATCGCCGTCGCTAAAGGTATCAGTGACCGCCTCAACACGGAAGGATTCGTCAACATCGCTCCGGGTGACAAGCATCAATGGGGTAAGATGAGTCTGTCACTGTGGCAACAAGGAACGTGTGTCCGCACCACCATCGTCGACGAAAAGACCGTCACTACCGACACGCTGTACATGCGTCCGATCTTCAGTGGGGGTACTGACAATTCCAACCTCGACCACGAGATTCAGTTCTGGATCGACAAGTTCGGGCTCGAGACGGAGACGGTGACCGGAACGACAGACCAAGAGAGCCGTCGCAGCTTGCGCAAGAGCGAAGATGACGATGAACAGGTTGTGTACTTCTATGGCAACGGCACCAACACGTACAACCCAAACCAAGGCAACTAAGGTGGCAGTCAACCACTTGAGCTTAGCTCCACTTGATTAATGTTTGAGTTTTTTTTCATAATCTTCCGTTAAGAAACATAAAAACCAATAGCTAAAATCCATGCATGACAATTACGGTCGCTTTACTGAATCATCCCAAGCCCCCGAATGATCTTGTACTGCTCTGTAAATACGGACATTAACATACCAAGGTTTAATACACAAAGCCAGACCTTCAGTGTTTAAAACGTACCAGGAATCTCCATCATTGCCATGATGGCAAAACCTGCCTCGGGATTCTTTTTGTTCACTTGCATCACGGCGTTATATTCAACGAACTGGAAGTTGTCAAAGCGACGGGTAGGTAGTTTGTCGTCGAACTCTTCCATCATATCCCAAGGTCCGTCACCGACTCCAATCATGATAATTGCTGATAAAAGAAAAAAATTAGAACAAAAAAAACTCAAAAGTCATCCTTCCTACACGTCTTCTGCGACATACAAATCGGCCAGTTGGACGCCTCCACGATCGCATTCCGCGTGTCCTCCTCGTTCGTCACTTGGCCATCTGCAATGATCACCAGGATGTGATAGCCTCCGTTCTGCTGCACCGCTCGGATGGTCTCTTTTATCACCGGCGCGAAGTTCGTGGGGCCCGACAGCTTCAAGGTCGGTGTGATCTCATTGTAGCGTCTCAAAACCTCCTCGAACCCGTGACAGCCACGTCCTGGTGTGAAAGGGAAGCAACTGTTCCCTTTGGTCGCTACATCTCCAAATCCGAAGGCTGGAATGATGTTGTCGTCGTCGAAAGCTTCAAGGACTCGGCCGATCACAGAGATCACGCTCTAAAAAACAAATCAGTTCCAGTGTCATTTTTCATTATTTGTATTGCAATATTGTTTGTTTACCTGGTATGGGTTCATGAAGACGCCCGATGGGTCGATCTCGTGCAGACATCTGCCGCCAAAACTTTTTTCTCCAGTCCACTGTAGCGACAGCGTTAGATTTCAATGTTGCAAGCGGAATAATTGCAGAATTATTACCTGGTTGGACTTGGTGAAATCAACCTGCAATGTAGCCATGTTAGCGATTTGTTGATAAATAATTGAAAGTGTTGCTACATACTCCAACGACGAGGTCTGAGGACTCCAATCCCGCCGCACTTTTTAAGGATATGTTAGATTAGTTTATTAATGTAAAATGGGTACACACTGCTTCACGCACCGCAGGTCTCGTTGTACTTCGGCTGAGAATAATTGTTCAAGACGAAGAGGATTTAGAAAACCGAGTGGTGGAATAGAAATTGACATTTTGACGAACCGAGTGTCTCGTAGCGGTCGGGGATCGGGCGGAAGCTCGAGCGCTTGGACTGTGAGGCTGCCGGGATCGTTGATAGCGCTGGCGTTGACGCCGCCTCGCTGCTGCTGCCACATCCCATAGAGATTCGCTGAGGAAATTCGAACTGGCATTTGACAGGTACAACACGTTCATGGGTTCAGAAACGCAATGGGTACACTAAGATTATTTTCAATTACATAATGTAAGATACATTCGTGCGACATTCAGCATTTTTTAAAGCAATTCTAAATTTCAACAAACTGCTGTTCTGAAAAATACCCTTCGGAGAGCTGACTGCAAAATTCGCAGTGCGAATCTCGCCGAGATTCGGCTCGGAATCTCTGATCACCAGACAAAAGATACAAATTCAAGCTTACGCTAGTCTGGTTTGATCCAAACCGAGCTACGTTTTGGAACTACAACTTTTAAAGCAATCTATAGCTGCTTGGAGTCCAAGTCGTCGCGGAGTTACATATACGCACATGTATTGATAGTACATAATGTATTAATACAGCCTGTCATAGAGTCGAGGTACAGTAGAACTCCACTTTGATTAGCATCGTCTCTATCGTGGGCCACGATTCGTGGCAAAGCGGCGTCTCTGATTTGATTGCATCGACCAGGTCAACTCCATCGTCAAGTGCAGATTCGATCTGACCGTCAGGACCGTCTCAATTATCGATCCCGGCGGTTCGTTTCGATCAGATGGGTATATCTGCCTCTCTTGCTCTGCACCACAGGACATTGGGATAGCCTCCGTTGTCGATCTCATTCTTCAATCTTCGTCCCAATGGCCAGAGCGTTCTCCTCCTTTGCAGTGGCCGCCACCGTCGCGGTCAACTTGGTCTCCGGCGAGGTGACACAAGTTCATCTGGGTCTGTCCAGCTCCGCTGTCGGCTGCACCAATGGTATCGCTGTATCCTTCGCCACGGACGAAGCCAAGTCGTATCCAGTCACCGCTACAGCGGACGGCTCGACCATCACGGCGGACAGTACCTTTGTCAACTACTCGGTGTCGGAGCCTGACTACAACTACACGTACGCGTCACCGTATCTGCATACAGCTTTACTGTGCGAGCTGGCAGAGACGACCAAGTACACGTACACTATTGGCGACTCTTTCTCTAGCTCTTTCGTGTCGTTACTGCACCCTGGCTCAGACTCAGAGGAGACCATCCTCGGTGTTATCGGAGACCCTGGAGACACGACTTCTTCCGAGACGACGTTCGCTGAACAGGCCAAGGCGTTCGAAGGCAAGCACATGCAGGCTCTCGTCATCGCTGGTGACTACTCGTACGCCAATGGCCAACACTTGCAATGGGACAATTGGTTCCGTGAGCAGCAGAATCTCACGTCTATCTACCCGATCACGGGTATCAATGGCAACCACGAGACCATCACGTCTTCAGGCCATTTAAACATGTATCCATACCCGGAAGACATGGAGCTGGAAGCGGAGAACTACCTGGGCTATCTCAAGCGTGTGTACTCACCGATCAGTGAGGACGCGAAGGCTGCATTGCACACGTGGTACTCCGTCGATATAGGTCTCATCCACTGTGTGTTCCTGGATGACTACACGGGATCTAGAGGCACTAACGCGACGGTAGTGGGCACAGCTGCGTGGCTGGCGGACCGCAATACACAGCTCGAATGGGTCAAGTCAGATCTGGAGAAGGTGGACCGTAGTATCACCCCGTGGGTCATAGTCATCAAGCATAACCCATTCTACAACACTTGGAGCAACCATCAGTGCCAATGCTCGTCCACGATCTTCGAGATGGACGATTCCGACGTTGAAAAGTGCTGGAATGGCACGTACCACTCGGGTATTGTGTACTCGGAGCCACAATGTGGACAAATGGCCAAGTTGGAGGAAGTTTTCTCGGCTAACGGCGTGAACGCTATGATCACTGGCCACGTACACGCGTACGAACGCACTGCCAAGATCTACAGGAACAAGGAGGACGCCACAAAAGGTATCTACCATGTCACTACAGGCTCCGGTGGCAACTACGAAGGCCACGCCGGTCCTCGAATCTCCTCGTCGCTCATCCCGAGCTGGTCGTTGGCTTCCAACAACGTCACGTTCGGTGGCTCTCGCGTCATCGCCACGCGCGAATCGTTCCGCTTTTTGTGGTTCGCTAACGACATCAGCACCGCGGAAGCTGTACCCACTGATGGCTTCACCATCTTCGCTAACGGCACGGACATCACGACGTGGCCTCAGACCAACGCAACTTCGTCGATCAGCGCCAATTCCACGGCCCCAAGCACGACGACGACTGCTCCGAGCATCAATATTGTCACCGAGGAGCCAGAACCTCAAGGCGGCCACTGCTAAGGTGACTAGTACATGTAGTTCCTTGTAGGTGATTTTAACCCATCAACATGATTGAAGTTGGTTAGCTGCCACCCACCCTCGAAAATCCGTCCAGAGCGAGGTCATTTCCGAATTTCTCGTCATGGGTTGTGCATCGAGTAGGGAGACGAATGCTGCTGGGCCTTTCAAGAAGTTCCAGCCCATTCCAGACCGCTACGAGACCATCGGTGAGCTCAATATTATTGTGATTTTCAAACACCAACACTCTAATATTCGGTGGCTCTGACGAGGTAGAAGAGGTGCAGAGCGACCTCAGGTGAGCGAACGCAATCTGATACCCCGCAGATTGAGGGATAAGTAACGCGCGTGTTCGTAACAGGAAGGCTGGTCTAGAATCATCGAATTTAATACTGGGGGTACGTACGATCCGAAGCGTTTTTTTAAGCGTAATCTGACGCTCCTTCTGTAGATCGATTTCACCGAGTCAAACACGGTGAAGGCTTAAAGCTGTTAGTTGATATATTTCTCAGCATGTTTACCATTCGTCAATGTCTTCAATCTGTAGTTGACAGGGAAGAATAGCTTCAGCGGTCGCTGTCTGCACTACATCGATCCAACTGGAGCCATTCAGAATCCTTTCCAAAGTGTCATCAGTGCGATTGGCCGCACACTGGAGGCGTTCGACGACGACAACATCATTCCTGCTTTTGGGTTCGGAGACTCCACCACACTAGGTCAACGTTGCTTCCCATTCACTCAAGGACGCGGCTGTCAGGGTTTTGACGAGGTCCTTAAACGATACAACGAGATCACTCCAAAGATCAAACTCTACGGTCCTACGAGCTTCGCTCCGGTGATATACGAAGCTATCAAGGCTGTGAAACAAGATCCGGGGTATTATATTCTGGTAATTATCGCCGATGGTCAGGTGAATGAGCCCGAGGCAACTCGAAACGCCATCGTCGAGGCCTCAAAATTTCCAATTTGTACGTTAAATGATGGTGCCGGCATCTGTCTGTACTCTAATATTTCATTTGATTTATAGCTATCGTCATGATTGGCGTCGGTGACGGCCCCTGGGAAATGATGGAGGAGTTCGATGATCAACTTCCTGCTCGACGTTTCGACAATTTCCAGTTTGTCGAGTACAATAAAGTTCTCAAACGCAACATGAAGAACCCAGAAGCTGGATTTGCCATGCAGGCGCTGATGGAAATTCCTGGTAAGTACTTTTTGACATTGTAAAAAGCTTTTCTAACAATGCTTTTTGAGCAGAACAATATCAGACAATCCGGAAGCTCGATCTACTCCAGTACTAACAACATTAACAAAAATAACTCCACACACACTTTTTGTCAAAATTGATGTCTGCTTTATGATACAATAGATATGGTTCGCGAGGAGCGTAGTGCTAAGCGCTCACTCGCCCTAACGTAGCTCAAGCTTTCTCTTTGCTTTCTGCTGGGGGATATTCGTGGACGTCTCGGTCTTTTTTAACGACGTGTCCGCCTTCTTGTGGCTCGCAGGCTTTTTAGTTGTAGCATAAACCGTGTACGTCTTGTTCCCTGTCTTGTCTTCACTCCGTTGTCGACGTAGATCTGGAGGTCTCATCGAGCTCGTAGCTTTCTTTGCGACTTTTGTTGGTGTCAAGAATTTCTCTCCTTGACCTCCAGCTTCCCCGACCAACTTCTGCGTTATGTGTAGCCTCTCCGGACTCTCGGTGTCTTGTGTAACTTTGTTTTCCGCTTCCAGTTTTGTTGCCTCCTCAAGTCGCGTCGCCCACATGGTTCTGTTCGTCTCCACATTGGCCAAACATCCTTCTAATCCAGCCAACACTTCACCCAGCGCCTTCCACAACGGGAACGCGCACGAGTCGACGAACGCCAAGTTGACACGTGCAAACTCAGCGGATTCCGGTCGTCCATCCATAAAAGATGTGGCTGAAATCCCTAGCTCCACCTCCTCTGCGTGTTGCTCGTTGAACTCTTCCAGTAATCGAGTAGTCCAGCGGAAATGCTGCTCTTCCGTCTGCGTCGGGCCCGAGATATCCGCCGAGTGCACCACAGCATCCACGAGCAGTTCACGCAACGTCTCATCGTCATTTCTACTGCCACGAGCTTGAGCTTCATGCAGCTTGGCCACGATACTGGCGTGGCGATGCATGTCCGTCGCCAGAATCGCTCGAATGATGCGCTTCCGGACAGCGCGACGACTTCCAGCCGTGTCACTGGAGCCGTCTTCCAGTCCAGCCAGAACGTCATGTCCAGGTCGTCTCATCGTCTCGAAACACGCCGCAGCGTGCATATTCTCCAGCACTGAGTGGTCATTATACCGACGCGCCAGACGCGAGCTGCATCGCACGTGGAAATCGTTGGTCCGGGCGTCGTGGCCCATGTCGTGACAGAACGCGGCCACAAATATTGCGAGTCGCTCTCGAGGCGCGAGAATCAACTCGCCACATCGTTTCTGCCTTGTGCGTTCAATCGCTTGGGCTTTAGTGGTAGGACCCATGCCAAGAGCAGTCGACGCAGGGATTAACGACGCAGCAAGCTTCTTACTCTGCGCAGATAACATGAGGAACGTCATGTGAAGCGTAGCGAAAGCGTGGTACGTGTTGTGGTACGGCACGTCCAGATACTGCGCCTGTACGCTGTGCAGGAAGCGACGTAGCGTGGCTTCAGGCAGAGCAAATCCGTCCATGAGTTCGTGAAACGCGAACATTTCGACTGCGAGATCAATGAGTTGAGCCGGGGAGAACTGCCACGGGTCCAGATTCCACTGCAACACGGGAATTTGCGCTTCTTGTCCAGGAACGAGACCGATGCTTCCAGAGAGCGAAGAGAGGCCGCTACTGCTCAGGAAACAGCCTTCATGGTACGACGTAGCAGCCACAATAGCCGCCGCATGATCATGATCACTCACGACGGACGGGAGACGAGAACGCGGACGACGACGACGACGCATGGGAGATGCAGTAGTGTACTGAGACAAGAACGTTCTCGTCACGTGACTCTCGCCTTCACTGTCGCTGCTGTCACTATCGTCATAAGACGGAGACTCGAACACCAGCTCCCACGCACGACGCTCCACTAGCGCTGACAGCTCCACACAGATGGCACGTAGAACCTGTTCGTCCTCTGCATCGAATCCCTCGGTCTCTCCGTTCGAGTTCATCTTGTTGACAGCGTAAAACACGCCAATAACCGGACGATCGTCGCCGTCGTCGTCCGTGCTACTGCTCGTGCTGAAGCTGCTACTACAGCGTCGTCCAGATCTCGTCGAAGCGCCTGAAGACGCGAACGTAGACGACGCCGACATGGATGGCTGGGCCTTGATAGGCACACACAGCAGACTTGACGTCTGCATGCCCATCAAGCGGTCGTAGTCTCCGTCAAATTCCGGGTGGATACGAGCCTCACGGACCAGACGCACGGCCGCTCCCGTGGCAGCTACTCGACCTTGCAGCTTCTGGCCGATGGGCAACGCGTACCCTCTCCAATCCGCTCCCACACGTGCAAACAACGAGCGACTCGGTGCGTCCACTAAGAAGAGCGCGCCATGCGACGCACGCAGCGCTCGACGCGCTGCCGTCTCCACGAAGGAGAACACCGCACCAACTTGTTCGCCCGGCATTGTCCCCGTCGCTGCAGGAAGACGTAAAGACAGCAACGCAGCACTCTTCCTCTGAGCTGTACGAGCTGCATCTAGACGTTGAGTGTTCCGTAGCGCAGACGCGACTTGACGTGCAATGCCTCGAGCCACATCCTCGTCGTGCTCATCAAAGTAGAGTTTCTCCAGACACACGACCTGTTCCAGGTCTCCTTCAGTACTAGAGCGCTTGTCCAGTAGCTCCAATACAGCCAACACCGCTCCCGACATGGGGTCCTTGACAGGCACAGCCAGAACCGGCTTCGCGTATTTCTCGTGAGACAGCGAGCCGGCCTCGTTATCGCGTATATTGACGACGTTGCCGGTGCGTACAGCTACCATGGCACGGGCACTACCGGACGACAACGGAACACGGTACTCCCCCTGCGTCGCGTTGCCAGGCGAGTACAGTTCGTGCGTCAACGGGTCTCTCAGATACACATTACACTCGGCAATCCTGAGCCAGGACTTCTGAACAAGCACCCGTGCAGCTGTCAGCAACATCGTTGTAGGCTTAGGAGATCTCTCCAGCTCACGGAAGAGTAGATCTGACAGCTCTAGCAACGCCTGAGCCTTCTCCTGCGCTTTATTCGCCGCATCTTCCAGCGCTAAACGTTGCAGAGAACTCCCCACATGACGACAAATAACGTTGCATAACTCCACGTCACATTGACGGAAAGCTCCTGTGGTCGTACCGTAGAATACCGCCACACTGTTGACTGTGTGCTCTCTACTATGATCAAACATGGGCACGCATAGTACGTCCCTATCGAACAGAGGCTCAGCCGTCGACGCCGCTCGTCCAATCACGCCTTGACCCACTCGTACCGTCGACACTTTGGTCCTAAATCCTGCACTCGCTAGTCGAGCCCACAACGTTTTAACGTCTCGATCGAGTGCGTACACTATCCACCCGTCGACGCCAAGAGCGCGTTGTAAGAAATCCAATAATTGCACCGGAGCTTCCTCCGAGTCGCTCGTGGCCTGTCCTGTGTGCCGGTATATAGTCGGCATGGGGTCTACCGTGTCGCCGTTCCTCACATAGTCGACGAACGCTTCGATCGGAGCTGCAGCACGCAACAAACCGCCCACAAAGCCGCAAAAAACACGTAGCGGTTCACTAGTCGACTTGAAGGACCGAAACGCCAAGGAACAATCCGAGTCGCAGTCTCCTAACCACGCAGTGATGTCCTGTGCTGCGTGTCGTGTGTTAAATACCTCGACAACAGCGCGGACCTGGTCGCTACAGTCAACTAGCGGCATACACAGATACGACTGCAGCTGTTTACAGTCTTCCGGACGTTCTACACGTGCACACGCTTTAGCTGTGGAGAAGAAACTCGGCTGGTGTGTGGTGCCTCGTGCTTGGCGTCTGGCAGTCGTGCCGGAACTGCGTTCTACGACCTGTCGGATGCCGCGTCCGTCGAACTCGATGACCGACCCGGACGGCAGAAGCTCGAAGCTCAAGACGCAGTGCTCCGCGTCCAGAAGCGATAGAAAATGGTTCCGAACGGCTAATAGAGTGTCCAACGGACAGTCTTTCGACGCTGGAGCCGAGCTACACCCGACGCAGGCGTCCACTAGCGACTGCTGAGCCGACGAGAATCGGCGCGCGTGCTTGTGAGCGAGTTCCTGCGATAACCTGGCGAACATAGCGGTAACATTCGAACAGTGAGCGACGAATGCAATTCAGAAAGTGGCGAGTGTCGTGTGTTCAGCTCAAAATACCAACCGTCGGGTGACGCGGACGTGGGTGCGCAACAAGTTCCATCGTCTTTGTGCCGGCCGTTGCGTCGTGTCGTCCAAGGTGCCGGCCGTGCTAGTCGACGTGCCGGTCTTGCGATGACCTCCGTTGCATGCCGGCGTGGAAGTCATGGCCTCAAGAACGTCTCGGAAATGCGTCAGCTCGACGTCGAGACGCCGCTCGGTTCTTTGGGTCAAGTGTGTCTCCGCCCTGTGCACAGTCGATTTGGGGGGTACGGGCGGGGAGACGAAAAATGGGACAGAGTTTAACATGTGGAGAGGGTTGAAGGGCCGAAAAAGTGTCTCGGATTTGGCCCCTCAATGCTCGCAGTTATTTCGACTTGACCGAAATCAGATGAAAAGAGGAGAAGCTAACGGCGCGAACGAAGCAGAGCCAAGTTTCGCCGACCCCCTGACGATCGAGTTTTTCTCACGGTCTTCCTTCCGCCCTCTCGCGTTCTGGGATTATCCGCGGTTTCGACTTGAAATTCGAGCCACTCCGCGTGACAGTGCAACAATTGCGTTTCGAGACAGCGAGCAATGGTTATAATAGGCAGTGACTGCCTGGCAGTCTGCGGCAGGGTGGGCAGACAGCTGAGGCCTGGGGGTTGCTACAGGAAACTCTGTCCAATGGACAGCGTCCGTTGGCTGCGAGGACGAGGCGCCGCGTGGTGCAGGCTGCTCAGACTTGGGACACTTGGACCAGCACCTATTCGCGCGCTGAAATGGGCGGCTCCTGCTCAGAAATCGACTACATTTAATAGCCCGCCTAAAGCGGTACGAGAAATTGTTTCTAAAAAGCAGATTAAACAAAGAGAACCTTTCAGTTCTGAATTTTAATTCATATCAGATGCCTGTGGACGATGTGCTGCTTCAACGTGTATGTTCAGTGATTTGCATTGGCATTTCGATCATCAAACACCCCATCTTGGTATTGCTCTTGCTGTCACCTTTCATTCTGGAGCAATTTTTCCACGCATCTGGAGGCAATTCCCCATCTGACTTTGCGACGTCGCTGTGAAAACCGTAGAATGAAGAAGCCCAGCGACTTGATCAGCAGGCCAGCCAGCGTCTCAAAAGCACTCACGCTGGCGTGCGGTAGACTTGCGCCGTCTCAACCAGGTGCAGACGGAAGAGCAACAGGACTGAGCAGCCAATCTCTTCTTGTTATTAATCAAGGTCGCGGTAGCCGTCAAACTTGACATTTTGGGCTATTGCGAATTTTCTGCTAGTTTAGAATCTAGAGGAGGTTCAACTTGCACATGCATTCGTACTGCACCGGTACCTCCATCATAATCTGCAACGTGAACAGAAGGTCGAGTGGGTCCAGTTCGCACAGCGCCGCCGCTGGCTCGGCATTGTCGTCCTGAATCCGCTGCACCAAGACCTTCCGCTCCTCCGTCGCTGTGTGCCGCACCTTCTGGAAGTTGACAAAGTTAAAGTTGTCGAATTGCCGCTGTGGAAGGTGATCGTCCAGCACCTTCATGTTGTCCTGCAAGTTCAACATCCGCCATTAATCACGTGTTTAGACTGGTTCGAGCATGATTGCCACAACGTACCCAGGGGCCATCTCCCATTCCGATCACTATGATCGCTGGTAAATGAGATCAGCAAGGTCAGTTAGTGTACGAGACATCATCAAAGTATCTTTCAACTCGTTCACCTACATAGAGGGAGCGTCGACGCGTCCACAATTGCCTGTGCGGTATCAACCAGGTGCTCGTTTGCCAAGTGACTTCCCACGAGGATGATCAGCATGTGGAAACCCGTGACCTCACGTGCTATAGCCGTCGCGTGTCGAATCACGGGGCCAAGATTCGCAGACTTTTCTCCGAATTCAATCGTTGGTGTGAGGTCATGATAACGTTGCCAAATTTCGTTAAAGCTCTTGCATCCGTCCATGGGATTCTCAGGCGTGAAGCTGAAAATTTCATTTCCCGGGGTCTTGGCGTCTCCGAAACCAGATACCTGAATACTGCGGTCATCGTCAAACTCTACCAGTACGCGACCTAGTCGGGTCAGTGCTTCCTAGTTGATTGCAACGTTAGCCCTTTAGTCGCCGTGAGTACGGTACTTCCATTGAATTCTGTTGCACCTGATAGGGATTTAGGGTCTCTCCGCTCGAATCTATCGAGTGCAGGCAGTTGCCATCGAAACTCTGTTCACCGCAAGTCTTAACAATAACAAAACTAGTTAGTATCACAAAGTTGACGGTTGTATGCCACTGTAATACAATTCTCAAACCAGATTCGCAGTCGTGTAGTCAATCTACCGCAACAACACGATATAGAGGTCAGATATTCGAGCAGCGCAGAGCTGTGCAGCTGTACGCACTGCAAACATTAAATTCGACGACTCGAGGTTCATGTTCCTGCAGTAGGCGCATAATTTAACATCCACTCGACTGCTATATCACATGAGAGAGACGTCTACCTAAGCGCCTCTTGAATCGCACCTGCAGATATGTTAGATCCTCGCTTATCTGCATTATGGCAGTGCGCGTGACGTACCGAAATCTCTGAAGCGGTCGGAAATCGCGCGCGAGAGCGCAGGCCTTTTCGACATCATGTGTTGGCTAGTGCTCATGAAGAGTCGAATGACAAAGTGCAAGAGGCTGGGTGCTGTCTCAAATCCGTAGACGAAACTGCTTTATCTGACGAGACACCCCGGCTCTTTAAACGAAATTTATTAAGAAAAATACTCAATGACATCCTGGTAAAGAGAGGCTACGTGGCTTAAAATTGGGCAATTTTGGTCAATTACTGGTGACGGCGGATTCTGCGCCCACGCCGAAAAAGTCAACAGCCTGCATGCGCCGATGCCCTCGTGGCTATTATTGTAGGTTGCTATTCAATTCAAACTTATCGCTATCAAAAGTGAACGTATTGTCCTCGCTCTGTCGTATCTTTGCCGTCAGCAACCCCGCAGCCCCTCATGGTTTGCTTCTTTCTTGCAAGAATTCAAGAAGCCGGACTACCGGCGGCGCGTAGCCATGATGAAATGGACTATATTGAAACTGCTTTGGAAGTTTGTTTTTGTTGGCTGGATGTTGTTAGCGATACAAAGTAGTCACGGGACTCATTGCTCTCGTCTTGCTTAATAAAAATAAGCCAGTAAGTGCACGGTTCGACGGACCGGTCCAAAGGTACCGAAGAAAGGAACCGGATGTTTCCGGACACCAGTTAGTGCACGGTTCGACGGACCAGCCCAAAGGTACCGAAGAGGCGAGCTAGATGTTTCCGGCCGAAGTCGGCCACACGGTAATCATGGTTTTGCCTCACAGAAAGCACACGACACAGGACTCGAAGCTAGGATGCGGAGTCCAAGGAGATGGCGCCGTGTTCAGAGAAGAATGAGCCCCCCCCCAGCTTCCATTACGCGCGCGGAATCTTTTCAGCGTTCTGATGCTCGTCTTGAATGCTCGCATGAGCTGGCCGAGGGCTCATGGGGGTCTATATGAAGCTGTGGAAGCCGCGTTTTATCAAATCTAGGGACGACTGCGACTTCATCATCGACGTCTCCTCCGAGACCAGAGGACCAAAGGCGCTAAATGCTCTCGCCAACAGGAATGTGCTGATCCCGTTCTCTCGATTGGCACGCCCACAGGAGGATTTTAGCCAGGTGCTACGCGATCGGCCGCTGCTGATGCTGTATCGCTCCGTACGTTTTCACACCGGTTACGTCGCCGGCGGTGATACGCAACCTCAACATTTTGTCGAATTTCAGCTCGATGGTACGTTTTCAGTCAGGTGGTGGACTCCTACTGCTGGATTCTCCTTCCACACGGCGGCTGGGGGTGAAACTGCAGCCTGCACGTGGGTTCGTTTGCGTGGTGGCTTTTCCACAGAGAACCTTTGCGGCTTCGGTTCACGTCGTTCTGTCATGTGAGGCAGTGGCACGCGCGAGTTGATTGCGACGAGTTTATCGTCTAGTGGTGCCATGGCGTTCCTATTAACCTATGACCCAGCTTGCGCTCGCGCAGATTTTGCTCCCGCTGGATTAAACTCGCTTTACCAGATGCATCTGATTCTGATTTACGAAAAATCGAGATGGAGAAGTCGGCTTCGGCGTCTACGGTCGACTTTGATATGGATATCATAGCGGTGGTGTCAGCGTTCGGTCGGGCCACCACTGTCCAGCCGCTGAAGTATGCGCGGACGTAGGTCGGTCCTCAGCGACCTCCTACTCGAATGGACCCGGACGTGGAGAGCGACACCGAATCGCTGACTGAGATGTTGGCCGTGAGATTATCCCAAGGTCGCCCGCTATCGCGTTCGTTTCCGATTGCTCGGATTGGTGACTTCCAGACGCTCCAGTCGCATTTGTCGTTCTTTTGCCATTCCCGGGCAGATGTGAGGGTGGCCTCAACCGCTGATGTCCCTGTTGTCCCGTCAGCATCCACCTACCAGTACGACTCCGGCCCCAGCAGCGGATGTACGAATGACCGGGTCGTTACCGGTGACGTCGGCTCTCCCCGTCTCAGAGGCGGTGCTGACTGCAACCATGGGGCTTACTCGTACGACGCAGCAGATACTTTCGTCTCAAGCAGCCAGCTAGCAATTCCTCCAGCTGTTGCTGCTCCGCTTACCGGTGGATCCATTAGCACCCGTGACACCGAATGCACGGCTTCAGAATCCATTTGACAAGGTAGCTTGTGGCTCTCGTCGGAGCCGAAGTCGTAGCCATAGTCCGCATCCAGCTCGAGCGGCCCACGGCCGTCAGCTTCGCAGCCGTTCTCGGTCGCGTAGCACACGTACGCATGGGCCACCTGTACGCCTCTCTGACAGTCGTGTCCGCTCTCCTCGCACCTGTGGTGAAGCGCTTTCTCCGAAATGAGAGATGGGAACTGACGAGGTGTCATAATCACGGAATAGTGGCGGCATCCGGTGAATAAAGTGGAAATGGACTGCTCGAAGTGGATCCTTACCGGACGAAGTGGATCTGATCGATATGAAGTGTGTCAAAGGTCGAGCCTACCACCTATGAATTTCTGGGTGACGTTGGAGACGTGGAACGGTACCGTTGATCAGCAATCCAAGGATGAGGTACCTGGATCCGTACCCTATATGGGCTGACTGTGTGGGCCTGGAATAAGAGCTCATAAAGAATGGACCCGGATGACGACGGTGGCTAAGCGCCTAAAGAATGACCAGATGAGCATGTTTGATGGCAGTGCAACTGGGATCCATCAAGAAAATGCTTGAGCTCACCCTCACCCAAGTACGCCAAGGGGATATGGGATCCACCATGTGAGGGTGGATCCAGTGGTGATCCGATGGAGGAAGGGTCGCAGATACCAGCTGAAGGTGGATCGGGCATGAATGACGGATGATAATGCAAGATCCGCCACTAGATTTTTCGGATCCCACTCCCGGATCTTATGTATCGAGGATCTTACACAGAGTGACTAAATATATATCGAATAGGGGTGTTAGAGCCAATAGACCTCGAACTTTCGTGGAGCGTTAGAGACCGCATGTATTTGTAATGTGGAACTGGATGATTGGAGGACTCAGATCCATGAGGAAGTGTACATTTGCAGTATGAGGGGCTAACGTGGCTTGGACCTGGGGCATTATACACATAATATGGCGACCTCATGATGATTGCGCCATGAATTCGGTGGATCTGATGCTGAAACAGCGGGGGGGGGGGGCAAAGCGAGATAGGGCGGGAAGCCGAGTCTGGTAGGGAATTTAGCAGGTAAAAGACATAGAGGGTAGAACTTCAGGCATGTATAGGCTCAACTAATGAATTAGACTCGAATTTGCTTTGTGTTACACAAGTGTCTTCCTGTCCTCAAGAATTGGAACGATATTGGTTGTACGAGCTCGAGGAGGGTTGGGAATTGCAGAGCTAGCGTGGGTAGTGATAACTGGATAATATATTGGTCAGATCCTACCACCTAGTGAGCTTTCCTTATACGTGCAAACTTACAACGTTACTTGGATTTATTACCTGACCAGGTATTGCTATCGACTCGCAACCTTCAAGACCTCGCTAAAGAAGCGGCAAGTCCGACGCATAGGAGCGCAAAGGCACGAAGACACACCCGCAAGGCAACCCTACAGCCAGATCCCAGATCTAGGCCTTTGATCCACCAAGTTCGAATATTCGCTTGGGATCCAGAAACAACTACAGTCGCAGAGTGAAGATCGTACCACTATTGCTCCATTTCCACCCCACGTCTCGCCAAGGCACTCAAGCTTCACCACTTGATCGCTTCGAAGAGAGCAAGATACCCTTCTTAGGTGAGGAAAGCTCAGCAGGCCATTGATCATGGGGGCCCTCACCGGTAGTCGGTCTTTGGGCGCTGTTGGTAAGTTGGATCGAGCAATCTCGCAGATTTTGCTGATCCCGCTTCACCACGCACCACTAGCGACCTCCGCCAAAGTTACTGGGACAGTTCCTGGATTTAGACCTGCCTTGAGAGTCGGGACAGATAGCCTCGAAGCCGGTCTCGCAGACTTTTTCGTAGCGAAGGCCGTACTTGTTTTGGCTCCAGATTTGACGACCGAGGAGACCGCAGCGCTCGTACTGGCCAAGCCGGTGAAGACTTGCGCCTCGAATCGCACCCTATGAGCTAGCAGACAGGCGGCTGGCGGCGTAATTAAACGTCCACCAGACGGCTCAAGTTGGTTCACGATCTGAAGGTAGGTACATGGAATCTGTCTCAAACTCTTTTTGGCGTCTCAACTGGTCGGGCCGGGTATCGACTATTCAGCAGCAAGAGGTTTTGCGCGGAAAATTTCGGGTCACCAAGGTCACAGCGAAGATGATCCTTGGCGTCAGTTTCGAGACGAGGCAACTCGACCACTTCCTGCCTCCGTTATTAGATATTTCCAGTAGGAGGGCGATTACTCACGATCCAGCTACTTCGTCGTCAGCGGACACGAGCTCAGCGAAGAGCATTCGTTCCATTTTGGATCTTCGTCAGACACTTTTCTGTATACAGGACACGACCATCGAGTTGTTTCCCCGGCTAGTGGTAGCAGTGCTCGGCGCGGCTCACATGGATTCGCTTTCACGGCAGTGTGATAATGCCCCGAAAGAGCTCGTATACGCGGTGGTCAATCTCTACACACATGGGTTTACGGTGCCCTTTCAATTCATCAGCTAAGGCCGGCACGTGTCGCTACTTCTTGGAGCCGCACGAACGACAATGAGCCAGGACCCGCCTGGCTCATTGTATCTAATCCGGCTGGTGCGCCACGGCATCGACCGGTTCTGATCAAACGTGGGCGCATGCGGGTCTCTTTAACGTGATGGTGTCCACCACATCTATCAGGTCTATTCGAAACGGGAGCAAGCGCTCTAGTAGTCCGCGTCCTACCGCTTCACCGATTCCGCTTGATATATTACGGCAAGCTCCGAAGCACGACAATTAGGCTGTCCATCTTCACTTCCAGTCTCAAGAAGGGTGTGACTTTTGCTCGTGTAAGCATTCCGATTCGAAGGTGCAGCTACCGGAGGCCATGATATCGTATGTCACTTGGAAGCACGGTGCCTCGCAGTGGGGCACCCTAATCTTCAGAGCTGACGCCACGGAGGTGGACTACAGAGCTCGAACATTATACGGTTCGATTCAACATCGACATTTAACTCTAGTCTACCTAGTTTTTCGTATGGCTTACCTCTCGTACCGGTTCCGTCATCGCGACTCGACGATCCAGGTAGCGCAAGCCCAATCTGGCGGTTGAGTGCGGATTCGGCCTCCCAAGTACACATTATGGCGTTCGATTGTTGTTTCCGATGATCCCACTACCAAGGCGCGTGTGTATGCTGTACTTGGACGGTGTTGGACGTATCTTCCTGGTAGTTGGCGGGCAAGTGGGTTGTTATGCGGTTTACGGTGGCTCGAGGTACATTGCCGTACAGCCGTGATTTATATTTTTGGTGGCTCAGCAGTTATCATTGCGCTGGCGCTATCGCAGTATCGCGTGCACGGGAACAACTTGAAGCCACTGATCAGAACTATCAGGGAGACGCTGAATTTACTATATCGAGTTGTGATCACTCCGGTATCTCGTAGGTACAATGCGGCACCCGATGGTCTCTGAAATTAAATCATGGATCGGGATGCCATCGTCGGGTTGTCATTCGAACTTCTACACGTTCGCTTGGCCGTTTTAAAGTGTCAAAAAGTATCCACCTCAGATTGGGAATGTATCATATCTGATAGGTTTGGAACACTTCGGGATTTTGAATTAGACTGTACCACTTCTCTGAAACTGACAATAAATTCTAGAGACTATCTGTATTATCAATAAGTGATACTGATAAAGTATTAATCTAAACAAAAATCCAAATTATTAGGGGCTATCACGGTTGGAAAGTAAATTTGACCGGCCAATCAAATTAAATCTTCGCGTCCCGTGGCCAGTGATGGTTAGTTATGATTGGTAGAAAACCGTGTCAGAAGTGGTTGGTTTTGCGGTATTTCCAGCTTCACTTTTCTGCACGATTTTGGCCCTCACAGATGACGGATGAAGGATTGGCTTAATTGGCTGACCAAACATACTTACTTTCCAACCGTGATAACCCCTATTGCATAAATCACAGTATAAATGATCTTCATTGCGCCAGACCCGTGTCGCCAATAAATTGTATTTTTTTTAATTAATTTGCTCTTGACGTACCGAGCTATTAAAATACCGGCCTTAGCTACCTGCATTCCAGTAGACGCTTTACTGTCCCGGTAAAAGTTATCGCATCATCAATTCATTTTTCAGCACATGACATGTGTTGAATAACACTAAATGAAATCAAGAAAATATTCTTCTCAGACGGTTTTAATTCCCAGAAGCCAAAGCGTTACTCCATGTTTCGGTATTTGGCATTCTTAACTCATGATATCCATCAGAAGACCAATGTATGACCAACATCCCGTGAGAGACCATCAAGCTGTTCCTGCTACAGCGTCAACCACAGCCTCAACGCTTCCATGTCCCGTCGTGACGAAAATCTTGCACGGGACCGAGTCGTCTCGAAGAAAAAGACCACGCTCTTCCAGCTTCGCTTCCAGTACAACAAATCGCTGTTTGCATTTCTCCAACACTTCCTCGTCCGCCCCCTTGAAACCAATGGCCCTGACAAAAGCTGCGAATCCTAGTGCCGCACGTTTCAGAGCATATTTTCTTTCCCTGTTTTGACGTCGAGTAGAACGTGTCTTCTTTTTTCGTATGTCCACCTTCGCGATCTGTAGCAACCACTCCTTCTTTGAGCCGAAAGTTGAGAGCATGTAATCTTCAAGTGTCTTGCAGCTATAGTACGGATAAGTATCGGGCTTGTCGATGGAATTGAAATGTACCTCCCGCATGCCGAACTTATCCTTCGCGCATCGTTTTGCAATGCGTCCATTAAACTGGTGTTTTGAATCGGACAGACACTGTCGACAAAGACTATGTCGAACAACGGGGCTATCGTTCTCGCATTTGCAGCAATATCTGGCCAACGAGGAATTACACTGCTGGAAATGATCTCCAGTGATCATTTGCATCTTGGTGAGTGTCTGGTTGTTCAGAAACGAGAGGATCTCTTCATGAATGGCCTCGTTGATAAAGCTGAATCTGTACGAGCGGGTCTTTTTGGCTGCGGCTTTGTCGCACTCTTGTTTCTTGGCGCATTTCTTCTGATGCATGGAGAGACCTCGCGCAGTGAACTGCTTGTCACAATAGTCGCATACTGAAATCACTTTAGCGACTTTTCTAGGTGGCGATTCAGACGCTTGGTTGTTGGTCGCGGCACGTCCGTGTTTCTCCATGATTAGTGAAACTAGGAAACTGCGAAAAATGGTTTGTCTTCGTCTTGAGTGACAGCTTGTGACCCAATGACCCAATAGTTATCAATAGCTGTCACTCAAGACAAAGACACACACACGATGCCAATAACTATTGGGTCACAAGCTGTCACTCAAGACGAACGTACATCACAAATAAAACTCAAAGATTTCGAGAAAAAACGTGCTACGTCACTGTTGTTTGCTGTCCACCTGTTCCCCCGTTACTTAATCATAAGATTTTCGGGAAGCAGCCTAATTTGCCTTTTGAAAACTTTTCTATGCGTGGAAACTTAAAATAGTTTTCACAAATTTAATTAACCCAGGTAGCCATGTTTAGCTCAAAATGCACAATGGGTATCCGCACCCACCCATGAGACAGATGGGTGGATACGGACGGTACCCGTTGCAACCGCTGACGGCACAGAGAGATGCTGCGTGGAAAGGTCTTTGTTACCGATGACGAAGACATGCAAGTTACAATGCGAAATTCTTTTTGCGACTTCTGTGAGCAGGCGTTCACTACTCGCGGTATGACTTTCCATCTGAAGAAATGCGCTAAGAAAGATCATGACAAAGCCGCGGCCAAGAAAACTCGCTCTTATAACGTCAGTTTCATCAATGAGAGTGTTCATGAGGTAATCCTGTCCTTCCTGGGCAACCAAACACTTACGAAAATGCAGATGATTACTGGTGATCGTTATAAGCGATGTGAGCCTGAATTGGCGGGATTTTGCTGTAAATGTGAGAATGACAATCCAGTAATTGCTGGTGGCTTGTGTCGGAAGTGTATTCCCATTGGGTTAACTTCACATGCAAGCAGACAGAGATCGAGTAAAAGGTACGGGGTGGGGAGGAAAGATATCCACGAAATGACATCAAAGTTTGGTCACCAAAAAGTCAGCTGGCGGCTGCTGGAACACCACACGGTTAATCTTCACGACTCGAAGAAAGAGTGGCTTTGATTTCTGGTAAAGAGGGACATTCGAACAAAGAAGGCGACTGCTACTCGAAAGCAAACCAATAAAACACAGGATTTTCTCTTTGATCTGTCAGAGGAGTTTGCAGAGTATGTTTACTGCATTAGCTTCAAGGAGACGGACGAGGAGGTATTAAAGCAATGGATTTAACGATTTAAAGCATTAACAGCGGCGCTGTGGGTACAAGGACGTCGAATTCGTTATGATTCACTCTCATGCAAAATATTCGTCACGACTGGAAAAGGAAACTGTTGGGGCTGCTGTCGAGAGTGAAGCGAGGAACAATGAATTGACTCCTCCACTCAATTGAAGAAATCGAGGATGACGGTACCACGATTCAAACGTGCCTATGGTCAGAAGACAAGTAATTTTCTAGTTCGGGTCCTTCAAAGTGTTGAAGCAATGCACCCGACGATTCAATGCACTGAGAGAAATGCTGCGAGAGAAATCAACTTTGTCCAAGATTTATCACTACTGGAAAGGTAGAAGCGTTAGCAGCTACGAAGAGCTCCTCGTTTTTTTTAAGAATAATTTGAAAAACTTACGTTTGCTACATCTCAGTTGTGCTCTGACAAGACCATTGCTGTGGTGAGTTGGCTCGTCGTTACTAAGTAATCAAACACTCACGTTGATCGATCGACTCCTCGAGCTACATATTTAAAGGAAAATCTACAGCAAGAAAGAAACGGATGTCGCTTCTCGGTCTTCTTTAAAGCGAGCGCTTCTCACGTAAGCTTCGTGCCAAGTTGGTGCAAGGGAATAAAAAAATCGTTTAAAGTTGCCGCTTATACAGCTGCATCTACTGCACTGTAGTACAGAAAAAGTAAACTTCCATCTGCAGGTCGCAAACAAAGAGCAAGTTTAAAAATGATCTCAAACCTAATCAATCTGGTTCGGATATTAATCTCAAGTACTTATAAACTCAGAACTTCCAACCTGGTACCGTCGCAGTCACATTCGCCTCTTGCAAGCGTTGCAACTCGAGAGCACCACACAGCCACACAATATATTTGTCCCGCAGCTTCCAGCAGAGTAACAATTTCAGCAAGAGCTGACCTGTTCCGTGCTTTCTCGAAGTGAGAACAAAGCTGCATCCTGTCGTAAAGGTTATCGAGTACTTGAGTGTTTCCTCTTACTCGCTGTAAATGTAGCGCCCTGGGATGTCTCCAGTGCGTCGAGCTTCGTCAAAGCGCGAGCGGCAATTCTCCCACTTACGCGGAAGCTCGAGTCCCCTGTGGTTCTCTAAGTACGAGATGCTCAAGTCCATTTTCACTTTCTCATCGATCACTTCGTTGCCTTGCTGCCCACTTTTCATCTTCCACTGATAATTAGTGTACGCGTTCACAAAGCGCATTTCTTCTGTAGTATCCACCACATCCGAAATGTCGCCCTCTCCAGTGGTGATGAACCGCTCACAGTGTTTAAACCCAGGTCGCAATTGAAGCCCACGCGAGTTCAAAGCCGTCGTCAGGGCAACAAAACGTCTGCTACATTGTTCTAATCGACTCTTGTTGATCTCCTCCTCTAAGTCGATTAGTTGAGCGTAGATGGGAAAATTGGGGGCCAAAGACTCCATAAAAGCGTCTCGTTCCGCTCGCTCCTGTTGCTCCATCTCTTGAATCTTCCTCTCCACCATATCACGCCGCGCGATTTCCCGAAGCCACCCCAACTTCGACCCGAATTTAGTCTCCAAATAGGTCTCCAGATCCACACGTCTGTACAGCGTTTCGCCATCAAGTCCAGCGCTTGTGCATTGTGGAATGTCCACCAGCTCACGCATTTTCAAGCCGTAAACACTCGTGGCCATGTCTTTATCGGCAAATGGCAAGTAATTGCTCGACTTCGACTCACACTCTCGACAAATGTTGTGGAGAAGTTTTGGATTGTCATTTCCACATTTGCAGCAGAGCTGAGCCAGGTGAGGCTCACAAGTCGAGTAGCAGTCGCCAGTGACGGCGTGCAATTTGGCGAGTGTCTGGTTACTGAGGAAACTGAGGATGAGCTCGAACACGTCTTCGTCGAGAATACAAAGGTGCTGGTAAGGTCCAGTATTCTGCGCTTGGTCGCTGACGCCGTAGCGCAGCCGTTGCTGCTCCATTGGTAGAACGCTTTGACAAAGTGTCGGTGGCGCAGCGAACAACAATGACTGTAGACCGTATTATTCTAATCGATGTAGCTTTCGTATTTGATTTTCGAACCTCGTTATGAATAAAGACAGGGGTATCATGTTCGATAGGGTTTAGTACAATAAGCTTGTATTTGATTTTTTTTGATAATTTTCTGAACTAGTAATTTACCAGGCTTTAGAGCATCTCCACCGGTGTGTCGCAGACTCGTTGCCTTCCGATTGGCCGGAATGTTTTTAGCGATAGACACCGAGAGGCATCACTCACCAATCTGTCGCTATGTGGAGAAATCGTCTTCTGCGAGAAGCTCTTGACGACGAGGAAGAGGCGTACGTCTGCTCGCTACTTTTGACCCCTCGCGCACCGAAAAAGAGAAAACACGGCGGTTCACAGCCCGGCAAGGCTGCAAATGTCGACAGAGACTTCACTGCGGCTAATGAGATGCTTGTGCGGCGAAGTATCGCCGCACAAGCATCCTGGTACTATCGTACAGTATGACTGCAAGATTAGCGTCCAAAGGTTGTCCGCCCTCTGATCGGCCCCTGCGATTGGGTAGCGCACCACGCCGTGCACAGGACGGCGTCTTCCTTGTCCGACCAAGCTTTTCCTCGAGGCATTGTTCGTTTGCAAGTGATCCAACCTCCTATAGATTTCAGTCGCTATGGCGCCCGAAATAGCGACCACAACCCCCCGGTAGCTAAAAAATTGGCGATAGAGACGCCTGGTGAAACCCCAGTAGTTATCAATTTGAGCTCTTCAGTCGCTATATAGATATAGAGCCCCACCGGTGGAGATGCTCTAAGAGCATTTAGGAGATGCATACAGGACGAAGTGCATAGGTTGTTCATCTAAGCCCACGTATCAGGTCGGAAAATATGTCCACTCAAAGTGTACCATCTCTTCATTATTCCAAAGTTGGTGTGTGTACATGTGCTTATTAATGCGATAGTATGCGGTTTGAACGACATCGACTTTTTAAAAAGCAGGAGCGATCACCACAGTCTCACCAGCACCTTATCGGCCTCTGCTAGCCCCAGTGCGTGCACTTTTACAACTTCAGCCTCGTTTATTACACCTCAACGACAAAAAAAAAGAAACTCACAAACTTTTGATCTTGATTTAAATTCGTTTTTTTAAATTTCCTGAACTACATGTAGTAAATTACCAGATTTTAATTCACTTAGCTCGATGAATTTCAGAAAATTTAAAAATGTTTTCGTTTCTTAAATCGGGGTAATATCGGATATTATCTAAGATTTGGCCACTTTCAATCTATCCGAGACGGCTTACAAAGCACCACGTACATCGGCTCGTCCGTCATGAATCACATTTTCACATCATGCCTTTGGTAGCAGCGTACAGTAGGGGCACGCGTTGAACCTTTCAAATGGGTATTCTGCCTTGTACATGTACTATGAATTGGAAGCTACTTCGAAGTATTATATTATAGATAAAAAATTGTAGTCTTCATAGTTTAGATGGTGTACGATTTAATAATCGTACAGGAGCATTAATATCTAGTGTGTGAAGAGGCTGTAAACCACGTTTGCAGGCCGCAAATGCGGCACACCGAACGTGGAGCCTGCCATTAAGCGTCTGAAAAAAACCTAATCTACCAAGTCGTTAATGCCAGGTTTCCAAAAGATTTATTTGAATAAATCTATAACTATGGCAGACCACAACTCATGACCGAGCAGTTCTGATCGGACGGAGGATAAAGTAAGACGCGGATCGACCAGAATACAAACCACGAGCGATCTTACGCAAGGCCGGGTCTAACTCGACGCTGGTGACCTCCAGCAGGGCGCGGACGAGGTCCTCCCACGGGCAGTAACTCGGATTCTTGATGAATTCTTTCAATGAGTGGGGATACGTTAATCAACACCGGATCGTTAAACCCGACAGGGATATCGTCGTTTTCCGGGAGTCCCAGAAGTCGATGGGCGTCGAACTGTAGAACGGTGTTCTGACCGATAGGCAAAATCGGTGCGCGGTTGGGGTCGTCATTACCAGGAAATTGCCCGTTCACACGCTCCTCAAATCGGTACTCGCGGGTCCGTAGTTTCGGTGACAGCTTAATCGACACAACATACTCAACACCGGGGTATCGCCGCCAAAGAGCCGATTTGCGATCCAAGCCTCCCCACCCTTCACAGACTCCGAAGTCCACTTTCACTGTACTATACTGACGCCATCGTCTCAATCCTGGTGGTAGAACACCCCCAACGGTGCTGTATGGCCCAAAGCTACAATCTGGCTGGATCAGAAGCTCATTCTCCATACCGGGCGGAGGGTCATCAGTTGTGGAGTCGCTATGATGGCTCAGATGGTCGATTCCCGTCCCCGCTAAAGCCATTGATGCGGAAAATGCGCCAGCAGCGCTACCGTGTATGCTACCAGGAAACTCCACAATCCAAATTCTGCCGTCGCGCCACTCCATGTACTTCGGATTTAGCGCTTGTCTGGGCGATCTGACGTAGCGGTTCCAGTCGCTCACTGATGCCGTACACAGCTCGATGACGCGCCTTGGCTAGCAGAGGGCACGCGGATCGGGCTTGAGTCGACTTGGACGTGTGTAGCGGCCTTGGCTGGCAGAGGGTCGCTTGTGTGGGTCGACTTGAGCTTGAGTTGGAAGATTTGAAAGTGAATTAAATTATGGATGAGCGGCAAGGCTCTCTCTGTTTAAACTACTGCTACGTTCAAACATTCAAACTGTTCAAACGTTTGAAATGTTCTTCTTCTCGAGAAACTTGTTGCACCTTCTCGAGTTCTTATCCTTGTCCTTCGCCACAGGATTCATCCATATCAGGCAGGCAGTCATGTCATACTCCCCCCATGAACCTGTGCGGTTTAACAAGGAAAGATGCGGCGGATGCTGACTTGCTGCGTCGTTGCACCTTTGTCGATGGTGACCGTGCCGTTGGTGTGCACTAGCTTGATGGTATACGGGCCGTGTGCAACAGCTCGCGTCTTGGATCGAAAAGCTTTCGGGATCCGAAGCATGACATTGTCTCCTGGATTGTAGAAGTGCTCGATGCGCTTGTCGTTCTCGCGATCGTTGTCAGCGAGGATCGCCTCGAACCTTCTCTTGGACAGATAGCTCCAGTTCGCTTGATGCAATTGGCGAGATATCATGTCTTGGCCGAAGACGAGTTGTCCGGGTGACGCATTCAGGATACTGTGGTAACTGGCACGCACTGCAAATGCCGCGTAGTTTAGCGCCTTCTTCCAGTCCACATTCTCGTAGCACCGAACGATATTTAGTAGCTCCAAATGAACTCGTTCGCAGATGGCATTGGCTTGTGGGTTCTTAACGGTAATGGGCTTCGCCGTGATACCGTAGCTCAGCAAGAGCTCTTGAAATTCTTTATCAGTAAACTCTGGGCCTTGGTCGTGGATTACTTGTTTTGGACGAGGGTACCGGCAGAGCCATTGACGGTCGAAGCTCTCAGCTGTCGTTAGCGCCTCCTTGTTGGGCTGGACGGCGACTTCGAGCCAGCGTGTGGCGTGGTCGATCATTGTGATGCCATAACCACCGTCGTCGTAAGGACCAATTAGGTCAACGTGTACCACATCCCATGGATTCGCTGTCTTCAACGTTCGTGGGGGCAATAGTCCGTAGTCCTGCTTGCCACCGTGTACTTTTGCACGCTTGCACACAAGACACTTCTTGACGAACGCTGTGATAAAGGCCTCCATACCGGGCCAGTAGAGAACTTGATGCATCGTCTTGAATTGACGCTCATGGCCAGGATGTCCGAGGTTCTGATGATACCAGCTTACGAGATCCTCGCGCAGCGATTCAGGAATAACAACTCGCTTCTGATACGCGACCAGTGAACAACCAAGAAGAGGCATGAGCTTGTAGTCAGGATTGTTGGTTCCGGCAAGACATGCAGACTTGATCGTCTGAATTGTTTCATCTTTCTCTTGATGATCTCGGATGACTGGGCCGTGCATTACGCACTCAGGCTCGTCAGTCGCAGCGTAGATCTCTTCGTCAAGCGTCTGCTGTTGGTTAGAGTCGAACTGCATACGTGAGAACGCGTCAGCACCGATGTTCTTGGAACCCTGGATGTAGTGTAGTTTGAGTCGGTACTCAGAAAGAAGTAGCTTCCAGCGCTTCACGCGCAAATTCGTCTCTGTCGGGTAGATTAAATTTTTGTGATCGGTGTGGACCACGACCTCGAAGCCAAGTAACATAGTTCGATACTCGCGAAGCAGAGACACGATGGACAACAATTCCAGTTCCATCGTTGTGTAGTTGATCTGGTACTTGTTCAGTGACCGAGAGTAGCAGGCAAGAATGGATTTCTGCTGCATGATGATACCTCCAAGCTGCTTTCCACTGGCATCGGCGTACACATGAAAGGGTTGGTCGAAATCTGGAAACGCCAGGAGTACAGCTTCGGCAAACGCCTTCTTGATAGCGTTGAACGCGTCTGTGTCGCTCTGCAGCCAGGTAAACGGGACCTTGTTGCTGGTGAACCGGTTGAGCGGAGCACATAGTGCAGCTTTGTTAGGTACCATGTCGCGATAATAATTTATCATTCCAAGGAACCGACGGAGTTCCTTCCTGTTCTTGGGCACTGCGATTTGCTGTATGGCTTGAATTTTCTTGGCCTGCGGCTGAATGCCTTCAGCAGTTAGCGTAAAGCCTAGGTAGTCAACGGAGTCACGTAAGATGTGGCATTTCTTGCCGTTGAGGGTGATATGGTATCTGTTGAGCCTTTCGAAAACCACACGAAGGTGCTCCAAGTGTTCTTCCTCGTTGCGAGAAAACACCAGTATGTCGTCGAGATAAACCACAACGAATTCGAGATCTCCAAAGATCTTCTCCATAGACGCTTGATACTCATCAGGTGCGGTTGCAACGCCCATGGGAAGTCTTTTGTGCTGGAACTTGCCCCATGGCAAGCAGAAAGCTGTGTATGGCCGGCTTTCTTTGGCAAGTCGACGCGCGTAGTAACCCATGTTCGCATCAAATGATGAAAGGCACTTCGCCCCTGCGAGGCGCATGAGAATTTCGCGGATCTTGGGCACGTAGTACGGGCTGCGGCGCAGGTACCTGTTCAGTAGTCGGAAGTCGATCAGCAACCGTAACGAACCGTTCGGTTTGACTATGAAGAAAGCTGGAGAGGCCATTTCCGAGTCGTAAATCTGTTCGAGGACGTCTTGGTTGACCAATCGCTGGATTTCTTTCTTGGCTTTGGCTTCGATGCTCCTTGCAATCGCGTACGGTTTTGCATGCACGGGCTTAAAGTCAGGAGACAGAGGTAGCACGTAGTCGTCGAACTTCATTCTGCCAAGATGGCCATCGTATAGATGCGCGTACTGCTGCAGGAGATGCAGGTAGCGTGCAGCCAATTCTCCAGACACCGTGTCAGGCATCAACTCAGTCGGCTGGACTGCATCGTCGCTTGTCTCCTTGTACTCGTCGGGGAACTCGGGGTCGGTATTCGTATCCAAAGCCGTCGCAGTAACCGGAGAGCCCGTGTTCAGCGCGGTGGAGCAGCCATCCCATTGAACGATTTTATCCTTGAAATTGAGCACAATGCCCAGTGCTTCCATCAGGTCTCGTCCAATGACCATTGAGTCTGTGCTGCTCTCAAGGACCTCAAACCGGTGGGTAATTCTGACCGACGGGTTGAGCTTGGTGAACTTGAACTGCACGATGGCGCTACCGTCACTCTTGACCGGACCACCTGCAGTCTGAAAGGTTGTGTTGGACGCGACTTGTCTGCGTCCGTGCTTGGCGATAGCTTCCATAGCTGCCGCGTTGATTACACTCTTCGATGCTCCACTGTCCAGGAGGGCTTCAATAGTGGAGTGTTCGCCACGTAACTGCACGTCAATGCGCAATGGCGCCTTTGTGGTAGAAGGCTTCTTATTTACCAGACCGATGAACTTGAACTCTTCACCCTCGTCACTGGACTCACTGTCAGCTTTGTACACCTTCGGGTACTTCTTCGACTTGGACGGCTTCTTAGTTTCAGCTTGTTTGTGTTCGGCTGGTTGCTGCTTCTTGAGTGCGAAGCAGTCACTGGTGTTGTGGGATGAGGTCTGATGGTGTGAGCACCATTTACCCTGTCCTTTCTGTGTTGGTGCAGCAGAGTTCCCGTGCTTGTTCTTGTCATTACCGCTCTTGTGTCGCTCCAAGTGGGTAGACTTGCTCGGTTGGGGGTAGCGAGAAGGCTTCTGCTGCTGATGGCTGTTTTTGTCCTTCGAGATGGACTTCTCGCGCATTTCAATGCGCTCGAAGTACTAAAGTAACTCACTCATTCTTTCGTGGACGATTCCAGACGCGGCAAGTTTGTCTTGCCACGCGTGAGGCATGGCACCATTCAGGAAGCGGCACTGCTGTACCTCGGGAAGACTTTCAGCGTTCACTGGTAATTCAGCGAACATACGCACGAGTTCCTTGAGCCGTCTGTAGACTTGCTGTACTGACTCGTTCGAGCGCTTGGTTAGGTTCCAAAGCTCTTCGTCGAGGGTCTCGCTGTAGTCGAGAGGGACTAGTTGCTGGCCGATATTCTCGTAAAATTGTGAAAATGAGAATCCTTCCTGCGCCGCCTGTCTCGCAGCATCTTCGACATCGTTCTTCATCTCACCGTCAAGTAGTAGGAGAAGTTGTAGTGCGGCTTGTTCGACGTTCCATCCTTTCTGCTGGGCTAGACTCTTAAAGCGCATGCTCCATCGCAGCCAGTCCTTGGCATTGCCGCCGTAGAACTTGGGGATGTTGATCTTCGCGGTGTCGGCCGGAGCGTGCTCAGTCGCTGGGCTCGTGACGATAGTGTAGGTGACGTAGTCGTTCTTGTCGTGAGACTGTCGCACCATCTTGGAAGGTCTTGAATGATTGATCCGTTCCAAATTTGATATATCAAAATGACGCGCCTTGGCTAGCAGAGGGCACGCGGATCGGGCTTGAGTCGACTTGGACGTGTGTAGCGGCCTTGGCTGGCAGAGGGTCGCTTGTGTGGGTCGACTTGAGCTTGAGTTGGAAGATTTGAAAGTGAATTAAATTATGGATGAGCGGCAAGGCTCTCTCTGTTTAAACTACTGCTACGTTCAAACATTCAAACTGTTCAAACGTTTGAAATGTTCTTCTTCTCGAGAAACTTGTTGCACCTTCTCGAGTTCTTATCCTTGTCCTTCGCCACAGGATTCATCCATATCAGGCAGGCAGTCATGTCATCGATAAAGGGCTGGTCATCATTGTCGTTGTCGACGAGAAGCAAGTCCCTGAGCACATTCCAATCTAGGCGTCTGACTGCGTTGTTAATTGTGCGGACCGACATGATTCGATGCACACGAAGCAAATGATGCAGCTTGGTTTTGTCACTCTCGCGCTCCAACACTATTGGCCATAATGAGCTCATTATTTATGCTTTTGTCAAAACGAGTCTCAGAACAAGCCTTTTTTGACATGTTAAATTGTGCAAAGATTCTACGCTGACACCATATTCTAGACGTCAATAAATATAGTACTTCGAAGTACTACGTAGCGTTATTATGAAATAACTAAAAAAAAAAATTAGCTCTTCGAGTTCAACAAGCGACGAGCAATGTACTATATCTCCTTGTAGTACGTTTGCGTCTCGTGACGAAACCCGGGTAACGTTTCTTCGTCTAACCATTGGTTTTGGTCTTCACCCAGACGTTCGACCTTGTCAGTCGGAGGGCCGTCTTCATGGGCACCAGCGAAGTCAAAACACTCTTTCCAGTCCGTTTTGTTCTTGGTTAGTTCATCCGAGTGAGAATTTAAAAGACCTTACGGAATCCCTATGTGCCAAAATGGGGATTCAGAAATCGCACATATCACCATTTTATTAATCAATGGTCGAGCATCATATATGAAGTTGATCATCTCCATTTTATTAATCAATGGTCGAGCATCATATATGAAGTTGATCAAAGTTTGTTTTTAGATTTAAGTTTATAAAATTATTTTTAAAAAATCGCCTTCTGAATTATTTCTCAGCTCTAAATTATAATTTTAACATTTTTCTACTGGGTAAGAAAATACTCTAAAACGGGTCGATATGGGCAAGGCGTGTCGAGATATGGCGGAGGCGCTGCGGGACTGCATGGTGAAGCAAGAGTGCATGGCTGACGGCACCAAAACACTTAAGCAGTGTCTCCACGACCGCGCGTACTCGCACGAGTGCAAGGTGGAGGCGGAAGTGAAGAGGATAATGCACATAATTGAAAGCTTCTAACAAGTGCGTTGATGTACAGGAATACCGCGTGGCTTACTTCGAGTGCAAACGCGGGCAAATGGACATGCGTCAAAGGATCCGCGGTCCGAAGGGAGGCATGTCGAAGCCGGTGGATGGTAGCAACAAAGCTTAGGTGGAAAGCTGCGTAAGGAAACAATGAAATGCTTTTTTGTTTGCCTAGCCCCTATTTTACTTTTATTTTGTCATTTTAAATATTTATTAAATAGTTATCAAAACAAATTGATTATTTTATAGTTAGTAAATATTTAAAAGGACAATCAAAGTAAAATACCAGTAGGTTTGAGGATGTAAAGTATTCCTAGGTATTCTGCCACAGCAGCTTCGAAGACTAACTGCTTCTCTGTTGTTAACGCTAAGCTGTAAATTTGTTTGACGCCAGACCTGAATCCACGCTCCAAACCGTCGCCCAATCAATAAATCCAAGCAGATACCAGACTTTTGCTGACATGATGATACCCGAAACTTCCCTTTGAAGTTGTGATACACAGTCGAATCTTCTCGAAGTGCGCAGCTTTGCGTCACACACTGATCCCTTACACCGTTATTTGCCACCAGATTTAAAAAAACAGCCCAACCTTGTTTGCTAAAAAGAGCAAAACAAATAGATCTCAGTAAAACCTCTTTAATTCGTTTGCTTCAACTCAAATCTGTTAAACAGATCTCCGCCATACGTGAGGCTCATAAAGAGCTCCTCATTCTCAAGCAAGCTCAAAAGTAGCGATGCGTGCCATGCAAATTATCCGTCGCGTTGCGGCAGCCCGTGCGCTGCCGTCAGCTGCCCGCCTGGCCCCGCGTGCCGCCGCTCCCTTCCTCTCCAACTCGCTAGTGGCCACTCGTCAGCCGCTGCGCACGTTCGCCTCGGACGGCGACGATTTCTTCCTTGAGGACGACGAGGAAGATTCGTTCGTGCAGTACCCGCCCGTTGCCGCGCGCGTGCAGCACCAGGCGCCGCAATTTACGGCCCAAGCCGTGGTAAACGGTGACATCGCGGATGTGTCGCTGGACACGTACCGCGGCCAGTACGTGGTGCTGTTCTTCTACCCCAAGGACTTCACGTACGTGTGCCCCACCGAGATCATCGCATTTAACGACCGTGCCGAGGAGTTTAAGGCGCTTAACACGCAGCTGATCGCCGTGTCCTGTGACTCGCCTGAGAGCCACTTGGCCTGGACGCGTCTGCCGCGCAACAAGGGCGGGTTGGGCAAGATGGACATCCCTATTGTCTCGGACATCACTAAGGTCATCTCGGCTAAGTATGGTGTTCTAGTGGAACAGGCCGGTGTGGCCCTGCGTGGCCTGTTCATCATGGACAAGGAGGGCGTTCTCCAGCAGATCACCATCAACAACATGCCCATTGGCCGCAGTGTCGACGAGACTCTGCGTCTCATTAAGGCTCTGCAGTTCGTCGAGGAGCACGGCGAGGTGTGTCCGGCCAACTGGCAGCCTGGTGACAAGACCATTAAGGCCACGCCTACGGACAGCCACGAGTACTTTTCCACGGTCAAGGACGACGTCGACGACGACGACGCAACTGTGCTGACGCTCGTGAAGGATAAGGCCCAGTTCCAGGCTCTGATCAAGAGTGGCAAGCCCGTCGTGGCTGACTTTATGGCCCCGTGGTGCGGAAAATGCGCTCAGATTGCTCCGTTCTTCGCAGACCTGGCGGAGGCCCACCCGGAGGTGACGTTCGCCAAGCTGGACGTGTCCATTCCCGAGGTGGAGAAAATCAAGGACGAGCTTGAGGTCGGCGCGTACCCGGAGTTCCGCTTCTTCAAGGACGGCAAGGAGGTCCACGAGAAGATTTCTGGCTACAAGAAGTCGCTGCTCAAGAGCGCCGTGCAGAAGTTGCTCTAAGTCTCAATATGAGCTCTTGAGTTGCTTTATTTTTCAGCAAACATTTTCAATAACAAAACGCAAAAATGTTCTTTTGAAAAAGCTTTTTTTTGGTAAAAATGGACCTATGCATTCTCGTAGCGAGCGCGGGCTAGTCGCTGTCGACGTTCCTTGTCGGAGGTGACATCGGAGAGGTCCACTGTGGCTGAGAGTGGCGCCTTTAAGCCAAGTCCAGCGGTGTCACTCCGTCCGCCTTGTCCGGCTGCATCGATCGGTGCCGTGATGCCTGTGCCATGCTTGCCTAGACCCTCTCCGCTCTTCCATCCCATCATCTTGAGCATCTTGCCACCGATTCCAGACTCCAGAGAGATAGCACTAGGCTCTGGAGTTGGGCTGCTGGCTGGAAGCACACTCCCGTTGCTGACAGTAGCCGAAGCACTTTCTTCTTGTCGCTGCTTTTTGGCATCTCGTTCCATCTCCTTCTCGTGCTCTCGGTATTGTGCAGCGAGATGTTGCTTGTTCTTATTCGCGTTTGCCAAATTTGCCAGATGCAACTTCGATAATTTTTCATGTTTGCGAAGCATCTCCAGAGACCCAAACTTCCTGCGACAAAGCTACCATAAAAATCAAAGTAAGTCACAGCATTTGACCAAAAAACACACACAATCGTGCAACAGGGCGCTTACCAGACAAATGGGCAGTTGTTGCGGGACACTCGTCAATGCATCAATGACGGAATCTGCAGTAGACGCAGCACGAGGCTCCGCAGTGATATCAGTCCTTGGAGTAACTGTCGTGTTTGCATTGCCAGCCTCCGGCTCTTTCGCTTCACGCTGGCGTTGTGACCACTTGGCTATGTCGTCTGCACTCTTGCGCTTCATGCCAATACTGGTCCCACCGACTGCACTGGCTGCAGCTGGGGCTACACCGCTCCCCACTGCTTTAACCTGGTTGCTTTGCTCACTAACCGACGCTGCTGAGGCGAACGCTGTAGTCTTGATTGCAAACGAGATCCCCGGAGCTTTTTTCTTGTCCTTCTTCAGTGATAAACTCAACGCTGCTTTACTAGCAGCTGGAGTCTTCGCTGTAGTGGCATCGCTGTACGCTTCATCGTCAACAGGTAGCGGCGGCTCGATTACCTGAAAGGCAGACGCTCCACTACTCTGAGGATCCACACACCGATAGTACAGGCCAGTAAACGAGTTGTGGTACACCAGGGTGTGTGCATCGTAGTAGAACAAGCTGTCTGGATCCCAGTAGAGCCCGTACTCGCTCACATAGACGTAGCTGCCGCCTGCTGTCTCGAACGGTGGAGGCCACAGCTTCTTGGGTTCTTCAAAGCGAGGCACAACTGCCGCTGCAGCACTATCCAGCAGTGCGCTCACGTCTAGGTCGACACTGGTCTGCTGTGGATACACACGCAGTGCGCGTAGGAGAGCAGGAGACTTTGGAGATTAGAAACGTGTTTCGTACTGCGTCTCGTCCAGTTCAGCAGACAAAAATGCAACATTCGTTCACCTGATCAGTTGTCGTGTCAGCTCCGCGGCCTTGAGAGAGCGACCATTGTGCTTGTTCCAGCGCTGTGACGACCATGGAGCTGCCTGTGCGCGGTCCTGAGTGCAAGTCTGCCGCATTATGCGACCTGGATTTGAGAGATTCCCGCGCATACGACACCTCCACGTGCGCGTTCTGCACCATTAAGCCGGCACATTTCTGCAGTGCAGTTGTCGCCGCCTACAACAGTCAATTTCAGCAGCACAATCACCCATTAGAGTGCTGTTAGTACACGACACAAAGAGTGAATCATACGTCAATATCGCGGAACTCGACGAAGCCAAACCCTCGCGACAGATTCGTCGTGCGGTCTCGAATAAGTCGGATGTCTTGTACGCCGTCAAACTCGGCGAAAGCCACGTGGAGCTGCGTACAGTTCATACTTGATCAGCGACTAGTGTTGCATGACTACAGGTTGTGCTTACGCACCTCGCCTTCCTCGATATCTGGAGGGAGCATGCGCACCACGAGCACGCGAGACGCAGCGGTATGTCGTCTGTGTGTATCCATCTCATCTCTTGGTGGAGCACCTTGAGATGCCATAGGGTTTGCCGACTCCCCTCCATAATGAGAATCATTACGATTACGCATCTGCTCTTGACGAAATACTGAATTCACTGGGATCTCCTTCGTTTGAGCCGTTTTGGGTGCATTGCACTGGAAGCAACTTGTTCGTCGACCGAAATTGGTCACATTGCACTGTCGCAAAGACCAAAAATGAGCAACTAATAGTCAGTGAATAGCTGAACTAAGACCCACCTCGTCGCAAATCCAGTCTGGTCGCGGTTGCCACTGACGCTGGTCATGAGGTCGGTTCGAGTCATCTGGTGAACGCCGACGGAAGCCATCCGTGTAGCCGACGTTCACAGCTCGATGCTGCAGTACCAGAGGCCTCGTCTCTGTGGACACATTCGCAGTTTCACTGTCACAACATGAGGAAAATCACTGTAGTACAGTTGCAACGCTCTACCGAAGGCGTTCATTGCTCGCATCGCGCTCTCCACCGAGTCGAAGTCCACGAAAGCGAACCCGCGAGGTTCTCCAGTGGCCTACAATGGGCCAAAATCATTAGAATTGAGCACGACCCTCGTGAAATTACAGTCCAAGTGTTCTGAGCGTACCTTGTCGTAAATTATTCTAGCCTGTAATGGTCGGAAAGGCTGCAAAGCGTGGAGGATCTGGACGAGGATGACGAAGCGGACGGTGAGTGACCTGATGACTTGGAAATGCACGGCCCTCTCTTGTTCTAGTTCATTCTACCACCCCCTTCTACCACAATGTTTTATATTTAATGGTGGCAAAACTCTGGTCCAATAATTGTACCATTTCGTCGTCTACGGAGCGCGCCAGACCGCGCAGCAGTAGCGTGGAGCTGGGAGGGTGGTCTTGGTGTGCGGCATGTAAGCTGTGACGCTGCGCATGAGGCGCGTCGGGACGGCCGAAGTGCGGCGAGCGTCCAGACATTCTCCAAAGATAAGGAGTGATTTTTTAAACGAGTTGTGATTATTTGCCAAAGGAATTTTTTTTACACAACATTCCAAAAATTACATTAAGCCACAACGCATTCTATTGCTTCTTAGAGCCGCCAAAACCGCCGAAGCCCATCATGGCCATCATTTCAGCATCAGCATCCGGAACTTCGTCTACTGCTTCACGTTTCTTGTCAGTGTCGTCTTGTTTGTCCTGGTTTGGCGCCTCTTGTCCGAGTTTCTTGGCTTTCTTCTGCTCCTTCTTCTGTCGCTTGACACGAGCCTCCTCTTCCTCTGCTGCCTTCAGCTTCTTCTCGTAGTCTATGGAACACAAAAATACCAATGAAAACAAAATTAAAGGGCGATTAGTATGAGAAGATCAGGAATACCACCGACACTAACGTACCTTCCATTGCATCCAGCTTCTTGGTCATCAACGGGTCCCATTTGCGCTTAGACGCACTTTGCAGTCGATTCTTCACCTGGTCCACTGTCGAGCGCTCGACTCGCATACTGTAGCCGAGTTTGCGCAAGTCTGAAGATAACAATACTACAGTTTAGCCTATTGCAGAAGCTCCGTCTCAATACTCTACTTACGCTTTTTGCCATTGATGTGGTCCAGATACGCCACCGAGTCCTTGAGGCCGCACTCGCAAACCGCGCAGTAGTAGCCGCCACTTTTGCTTACGTCGTCGGACTTGACCACTTTCACGGTCCCCACGCTGCTCTCTAGAGACATTTTGGCGGTACGAGCTTTCAGAAATGCACGAGCCGAGCCCGCAGGTCCTGCTGCATCCTCGTTGGCAGATTGGAACTCCTCTTTCGACGAATTAACCACCTTCTTCGTCTGCAATGAGGTCCAGTTATTTATCTGCGTAAAATACTCCACAGCAGACATTGAAAGGCAGACGCACCTCCTCCTTCTCTAGTTTTCCCTCGGCACGGAGCTGGGCGAGCTTCTCGTAGTGTGCGCGGTCCCATGTCTGCCGCGACACGTTCGCCACACCTGCTCCTTTTCGAGCACTTGATTTGTCCTACGTTCAATAGTGCAAGAGCAAGTAAGCTTAAGGGCAATGCCTGCCAACTTCGTCTACGTTACCGCCATCGACGCTGGAAAAAAAATCAATTTTGACTTGTTAACACAAAAGACCCATTGCTACCCAAAAGACCCAGCGTGGGTTTTTACTATGTTGCGAAAGCGCAACTACTGTAAATTTAAGTTGCTCTTTACATTTTGCGGTCGTGGACGCGCCAGTCACAAGGAGTCATGGTTCTCGCCCATCAGGACGCGTGGAGAAGCCACCCGTTCATCTCCAACTGCGCCAAGAAGCCCTTCACGGGACTGGGCCTGGCTTCCGCCATCTTCGGCGTCTACCTCGTAGTGGACACCATCAACTCGCGCTTATCGTCCAAGGTCAACGCGGGCGGCGCACACCCAGAGATGGACTACGTTCCGCGTGGCAAGTTTCAGTACGAGCGCGGAGAGGTCGGCGAGGGCCCCTCGCTCAAGTAAATCCAGCAGCCTCAGCAGATTCACAAACGCAGCGAATAACCAGTCGACGAGAGTGACACAGTGAACAACTTTCAACACTTGGGATCTAAATAAACGCTATTGCTTGGTTAAGTTGCTACGCGATACTAATTTGCGAATAAAGAGATGTGAACCAGGTCGAGTAATAGATACCAGCCAGCTTCCTTCGTTGGCTGATGTTGGAAAAACGGATAATCGATTCCTATCGCTCGAACGGGAGCGTGTCATCTTGTGGGAACTCCTCATCGTCTTCCTCACTTTCGCCCGTTTCGGCGCTGCGTCGCTTGCTGTTGTGGAAGCTGCGCTCCTTTTGCAGTTCCAGCACCGACACGCGCGTCATCAGTTGCGTGATGAGAAGCATCGTTTCGGCCTTGAGTTCTTCTTGTTCCAGTAATTGCTGTTGCATCTGCATATTGCTTTGAGCAAGTTGCTCAATCTGCTTCTGCTGTGAAGCCAGCAAACACCGCAGCTCGTGGACAGGAGACGGCGTAGTGGCACGCTCTCCAGCGCCTCCAGTTGCCTCACCCGCAGCCAGCACAGTCGACTTCCGAGAGCTTCCTTTGCGTCCTGTTGTCGGTGAGTTGGTAGGACTCCCACCGGTACTTGTAGGGCTCCGTGAGCTTCCAAACCCGCCTCGACTAAAGCCTGGAGCTCCAGAAGACGAGAACACAGTACCAGCAAAGTGGTGGCGGTCGTTGCTGCCAGCACTGGCATTGGGTAGCTGCTGGAAGATTCCGAGGCCTTCGTGACCCATTTCTTCGAGCTCTAAATCGTGTTTCAGCGCGCGACTGTGTGTGATCATGGCATAGCACGTGACACACACGCGTTGAGGAGTAGTAAACCCTTTCGCCTCCATGGAGATTTTCTTGTCTGCGCTGTGTTGACTGCAGATCGACTTGCCGCAATTACGACAGTGGTGACGGTGTTTAAACATGCCGAAACTTGCTCGGCAGATGGAGCATTCGCCGTCATGTTTCCACTCTGGCGGGGGATCAAAGTGGGATCGACCGTGCGAGCTATGGGAAGCACGACGGTGCGTTCTCCTGAACAAGGGCGGTGAGCTCCTTTGAGTCCCACTAGGAGTAACAGAGCGTCGAATGGGCTCGTGTACCGACTGGAAAAGCCGACCTCCAGGGTTGAACTGAACGCCTCCTACAGTGCTGGCACTGTCCCTGGACGACGCAATTTCGATCTCATTCTCCTCGTTCTCACCGTTCACTTCACCGTAGAAGTGGAAGCTTGGGCTTCGTCGAAAGTTTTCGTTGCTGGGCATTAAAGGCAGCGACAAGTGGCGACTGTGGCTTCGACTGGACATTTCATTCTCTGGGTTAGCCACAGCAGCGCTGGCACTCATCGCAGACACCATCGTACGTAGCTCTCGTTCAGTGACAATGCCGTTAGTTTGTAGCTGGGTCAGCAGTGACGTCGCGCGGTGCATACGCGTCTGTGGACGACCAGGTGTCTGGTTCTGACTCGGAATACCTAAAAGACCGCGACGACTGCTGGTGCGAAATGCAGCACCAAACGAAGATCGAGAGCTGGGCGGATCGTCCAGACTGGAAGAGCTCTCCGAAGAGGGCGACACGAGATGATCGTGGGGGGAATCGAGGCCGTCGATGCTCAGCGACTGCTCACTCATCATGTTGAAGCTGTTTTCCGGCTCCAAGACAGGCGTCTCGGTAGTTTCCAGTTCGCCATCGTCGCCAACATGAAGAAAGCCGTTGAAGCCTACATTGCCCACGTACGGTTCGGGCACAACAGCTTCAGTCCATTCCTCAGTCTCTTCTTCTTCGGGTTTTTCAAGTCCAGAAGCTTCTCCTTCTTCCTGAGCACCGAGTGCTTGTTTAAAATCAATCTCAGTACTCTCGCGTTCGCTCGGACTTTCATCTTGCTGCTGCTGAAGACTGTTACGGTCGTGTGCTCGACGCAGCAGCTTCAAGCTGTCTGCATCGAGTTCGAACTCTTCCGCCATCTTCAGAGCCGAGACGCCATCGGGCGTTTGCTCACTCACCGCTTCTGGATACGCACGTAGTAATTTACGTAGACACGAGGCCTGTACACCTGCTCGTATGGCGATGTGTAGTGGTAGCAACTCGCCAGCGTTCTTAGCTCGGACGCCGTCTGGATACGCTTGAATCAGTTTAGCCATCAGGGACAGCGGCACTCGGCTCACTGTGCAAGCCCAATGGATTGGCAGCATGCCATGGTCTCCGCGTTGTTTGGCTACGGCCGGATCCCGTTCCAGTAGTCGCTGAAGTCCCTTCCAGTCTGACGCTTGAGCCAAGCGGATCGCTTCTGAGTTGCCTGAATCCATCGTGGAGAATGTGTGACTGAGGTTGTCACGGGCGCTGATGCTTGCGTTTGATCGTATAGCACGGCGCGAGATACAGAATAGAGTGCGGTAAGCGGCAGAACGCGCAAGGAACAATGGTCGTCGGGCGACGAGTCCCGCCGCGGCTTCTGTAAATTCTTCTTTGATTTTTGGATCGATGGGTTCGTTACCTTTGGCGGAATGGGCTTTTATCGTAGGAAAACTACTAAAATTGTGGGTCTTACAGTACTTGATTTGCTCAAATGAGATTTACATTTGGATAGAAAAGATGCATTTGAGATTAAAAGAATCGAATTAAAAAAGGCAAGTTTAACCTTGACTAGCGAAGCACCAAACTGCATTGCGTTCAGTAGCTCGGTTCGGCTCCAGCATTAGCCTCACATGCCACGCCCTACGGTCGCCTTTCGTGGCTGCGATAACCCCGCCACATGCCCCTCTAGAACGTGGCGCTGCGGACGGTCTCCGAATGCCAGTACATATGCGCATTGCACACCGCTTGTGAAACGGCGACGGTAGGAAGAGCGCAGTTAGCACACGGTACACGTTGACCGGGTTGGACACACGCGCGTTGTCGGCCAGCAACATGACCCATACTGCAGCAAAATATAGGAACGTCACCTCAGACTGGTCGCCGCTGTTGCAATCTCGGCTGAAATGCTCTGAGAGCGTTCATCTTTGGTGTGACTCGCCTTTCCCGAGACCGAACCGTCGTGTGACGGTCGAGCCACTCACAAGACTGCGTGTTGACGGCCTGCCGGTGCGCCTTCGTAGAGACACAAAACGGCACTCTCTACGAGTACGTATATGTAGCTCTTGATGCTGATCGCGCATCGCTGTACCGGTATCTCTCATCGTGTGTAGTCGTCAATTTGAGAGCTAAATCGCCGCTGCGGCCTTCTTCAGAGACTTGCGTGATTGTCAACGGATGGTCTGCACGTGCGTCGAACGTGAGCACGTACGTGTTGCTATTATCACCACCGGCATGACAATTTTACTCTATCCCGAAGTTCATTGCAGCGCGCGTGCCACAGAACAAGTCGAGCGAGTCCAAATTGTACGGCTCAGACGTCGGTGTCTGTATTCGGCTGGCCGCTGGCACGAGGATTGACACTCACGGCCGTTGGCATAGATAATCCACGACATCACCGGATGACACTGCGACCTCGACGTCGAAGCTCTTCACACGGCATTGTGAAAGCGATTCGCGAAGGAGCAGCAGAGTCCATTTATTTTTTTTCCGTACCTCCACTTTCTGCAGACGTAGTTGGTCGGTGTCGCTCCGTCAGCGACAGGTGGTTAGTATAGCGTCATTGTCGTGCGCAGCGTCGTCCGAGATGCATCTCCGGCGGAGGCTCGCACCACTGGACTCACAGCCGAAGCCGACATCTTTCAGCCATGAACAAGCTTTATACGAAATACTGGCGTCTCGCTGAGGAGCTTCTTATTGGGAGCTCAAATAATCTGATTTCGTTTTCTTGCCAAACTAACTACAGTACAAACATTCGTACATCTCGAGGATAAGCTATAAACGGCGCATCATCGCCACCCCATACAAAAATGAAGTCACTACCCAAACCGCTGCTTCAGGCAGCTCACTACTTCTGGCGATGCTGCGCCGGGCGATTCAGCGAGCGCGGCTGCATCTACCGGCGCCCATCGGTCACGACAATGGCGGCGGTGGATCTTCCAGTGACGAAGAAGACTTTCCTCTCAGCCCTAGTGTTGCCTACACCTCCTTGCGGGACGATGAATCCGTCCGGGACCACTTTCGCAAGCGCCCTGAGGACATTTCTGGTGTGCATTTGATCATTGCGGAGAAATCATCGAAGACGCGGAAAGGACACGTGGCAGAACTGTCTCTGGATGAACAGAGGCGCGCTGCGGACGCCTGGTCTCGATTGCAGACGCTGTATGGGCTGTTCCGGGAGCTGGAAGCGACCACGGACGAGGACACAGAAGACAGCGATACTGAAGCGGGCGAAAATGGGAAGAAACAACCAAAGGAGACTCGACAACAATGCAGACGTGATGACGGACTGCGGTCGCTCCTACAGGAGGTACAACTGCCTCCCGGTGTAATCTTACGGGACCTCCCGACGTTGTCGATGACCGATGGAAGTGACGACAATGCCATGCCCCAAGGATTCACTGCCGGCATGTTTGCTGCACTGGGCAATGCCATGTACAAAGAAATGCTTATTGCGGCGGAGCAGAATCGCATCAGCCCCGACGCCTTCGAGGAACTCGGCAACTACCTCTACGCCGAAGCAGCGAGTGTGGCCGTGTCAGCGACAGCGTAGGTAGTCGCAGTGACAGCTATGGTATTTTTTCTTTCTTTATTTTATTGTGAAGTATCACCTCAAAACCCAAATGAAAGGTCCGAACAATGTGGTATGCGGAACCTTTACTGCTCTGTGCTCCATGCCTTGGCTTGCCAGTTAGCGAGCGCTTTGATGCCGTCGTTTTCAACTTGCTGGACACCCTGGAAGTCCAGGACCTCGCCATTAGGACGGATGATCACGAGAGCTGGGATGCCGCTGTTTCTGTGTGTGACGCCTACCTCAGTGTCGTTTTTGCCATTGAGGACACCGTACTGTTACGATGAACCAGTCAGTTAGTAAAACCGTTCACATGGCGGCAGAATTTTGTTGTTGGGGTGCGATACTCACCTTTCTGCGGAGCTCATTGCGGATTTCGGCGTCACGAGGAACCATCCACCAGTCACCGAGCTTGGTTGAGAAGTGCGACTGCTGGTCTTCCTCCGACATGTCAGAGCTCACGAAGACGACGTCAAGCTGCTGTGTCGAGGCGTTCGCTTCGGCATAGAAATCGTTGAGCTTCGACTGGAAGGCGCGGCAATCCGGGCACCAATTCGCCTGTCCAGACCAACGCAATTAGAAGTCATTGGCAAGCGAGCAACGAGTTGCAAGAACGCACCGCAAAATACAGCGCCAGAAGTCCTGTCTTGCCGGCGTCTCCGCCATCTATCGTCGAGCCCTTAGCGCTCACCAGCTTCGTGCCATGCAGCAACGCGTCCACCATTTTTCCAGTCAAGCTCAGCTGTTTGAGGAGCGGTGATTGGCTCCCAGTGTGTCACCAGATGTGCAAGTTTCGCTAGTCTATGAAGTTCATGCGGCATTTTGCCGAAGCTACAGTGCCTGCAAACATAATTGCGGTAATCATCTTAGATGATCTTATGTACTGTCGCATCAACAGATTACATGTACATGTAGTCGCCAGCCAGCAAATGCAAGCCGCTTAAATTATATACTGTAACTGGGTTGGAGCCAGGGCAACAAGATAATTGCGATGCATGTCCATAGATTCAAACAAGCTTATTACCGTAGCTACGTTTGAAATCACTTGTGTACTGTATCTTGCTGATTCGTTTACTGCTGCCAGGCGGTAAGAGCCTTGATACCATCGCACTCGACCTTGTCAGCAGCGTGGAAGTCCACGATCTCTCCATCGGGTCGGATGACCACAAGCGTCGGGATGCCACCCTTACGAGTGATGGGGCTTAGTTCCCCCACCTCAGCGCCGGCGCATACGCCAAACTTACGCTTGAGCTGTGTGCGTGTCTCGCCTTCGAAAGGTACCATCCACCAGGGACCCTGCTTGTCCGTGAAGTGAGCGAGTTGATCCTTCGCTGAAGCATCCGATCCCACGAAAACCACGTCCAGACTGTCACGCGCAGCCTTGTAGAAGCTGTTGAGCGCCGGCTGGAACGCGCGGCAATCCGGGCACCAGTCTGCTGCAAAGTAGAGCGCCAGCACCTTGCCATCCTGGCCCAGCGTCTCTCCTTGAACGGACTCGCCCTTGGCGTTCGTCAACGTGATACCCTGCAACAAAACCCTGCTCATGACCGAGAAACTGGAAGTTGGTCAATACAAGAACGGTCGCCTTTGAAACGCGCTGTAATTGGCAGAAACGACCTGGCATGTCGAATACCAAAATACGGATAAACGTCCCCCCGTGTTTTGGTACATGTACTTCGTGTTTCCATCACCAAGTTCGTCAGCCAATCATGGATCGTTAATTAAACTTCAACTTCACGAAAAACTCATCACGAACGTGTGCCATGATGACACATTTTCTCATCGAAGCCTTCACTTCCAGCACCCTTAAAGCAGGTCGCTTTCGACGCGAGCCAACATAAGGACTTGTGGCTCGCGAGTGGCCGCTTTACTAGCCGATATTTGATACGTTGAAGGCTTTAGCTGGCTCTAGCGACTACATAAAGTTGTCCAGTAGGTACCTACAGTGCTCCGAAGACTTATCGGAATCCGTTACTTTACAGTGTCAGAAATAGCCAGATCTGTGCTTTAATTGGAGCAAAAACGAATTCACACTCGTTTATTGGTCAAAATTCAGCGCACGCACCATCTGAGTCGGTTTGCCCGTCCCAGTCATCGAAGTCTCGCTGGGGACGCGGCCGGCGCAGCACCAAAGGACACTCGCTGCAGCGAGCGCAGCGCCGCACCAATTCTCGCACGAGCTCTCTCACTCAACGGTGGGGTTTACGAAGCTCTTGTGGGCGCTTCTTCGGTCGAAATCCGAGCACTAGAAGCTCCGAAAAAGCAGGTAAAGCCCTTTCCCTGTTTGGCAGCTGGTTATTGTCCTGCGTGCGCTTCCTGGCGCACTCTACGCTCGGTGGCGAACACCACACGTTCGAGTTCTGATCCCACTGCTGCGCGTGGTCTGTAGAGCTCTACAAGGTGGAGAAGTACAGTCGAAACTGCCAAGAAACATGATGAACGAAAGGCGCCGCAAGCTTCAGACCATCCAGGTGGATCATTACGACGGCCAGGCCATCTACAGTGGCAATGACCTCATCTATGAGCTCGGAGGGTATCTCGGAGGAGGCGCTGCTGGCGTGTACGTCCAAAATCCTTTAAACTTTAGCAAAATCCAAGCTCTAGAGCCTAATTGTTGCAACTTGCAGAGTCTACGAGGCTTTCTCGACGCGTACGAAGCAACATGTAGCCATCAAGATATTGAACCCTGTCGGCTACAAGCTATTCCCTACTACATTACTGGCTCGTTGTATAGTGGCTGTGAAAGGCAAGCCATTGGTGGCGCTACCGTCGGACGAAGCGGACCTTGACGATGACGCAGGACAGAGAGCCAATCAACGCGCGTTTGCAGGAGGAAACCACCGCATGCGATCGAATTTTGGCTCCCCGAAAGGGACCACGGAGCGTATCCGCGTCGAGAACGTGTGGTGGTTGATCCATCCGACGTCCAAACAAGCGATTGCAGCTTTCGAAGATCCACACACAGGCCACGTACGAGAACTCACGCTGCCGCAATGTATCCAAGTGTGGGGCGAGCAAATGAGTCAGAGCGAGAGCGACGCAGGACGACAGCAAACAGACCCTGCAGACGTATACCAAGAAGTCCAAGTCAAGAACCAGACCATCAAAGTTCCCAAAATCCCCAAGAAATTCATCAAATTCGCTCACACCCGACGGTCAATTCATCGCGAGATCTCCAACATGTCGGGACTGGAATACCACGAGAATGTGCTGCGCCTGGACGAAGCGTTGGAGCTGGTTCAGGACAGCAAATGCACTACTTTTCTGGTGCTGGAACTCGCTGGAGGTGGAGAGCTGTTCGACCGGATCAAGCTGGATTGCGGCACCAACGAAGAGACCGCACGTCTGTACTTCCGTCAACTCACTTCGGGCGTCGCGTTTTGCCACAATTCGGGCGTTTGTCATCGAGATCTCAAGCCCGAGAACTTGCTCCTCGCCGATAACGAGGAGCACTCGACGCTCAAGATCGCGGATTTCGGGCTATCGGCCATTTTCGCCATCACAGACAGCGAAGTGAGTGGCGGCGCCAATGGGAATGGCGTAGACCAGCCAGCTATTCGACGATTGCGCTCCGTTGTGGGCTCTCCGCACTACGTGGCGCCTGAAGTTCTCATGGATGCTGGTCAAGGATACGACGGCGCCAAGGCAGATGCCTGGTCCATTGGGATTATCCTGTACGCGATGATTGCGGGCAACCTGCCGTTCGGGAAGGATCTACTCAAGTGTGTACGCTACGATCGCTTCCGGAAATGGTCGTACAATACCAAGTACAGTGACGACGACCCTACCGACGAAGTGGAGTTCCCGACGTGGTTCTTTCCCGCGCATTTCTCGATGGAACTGAAGTCTCTGATCGCTCAGTTACTCTATCCGGATGCCTGTATGCGGTTGTCAGTGGAGGAAGCGCAACGTCACTTGTGGGTACGTGGCGAGAAGCTCAAGAAGCCTTGTCCGTCATCGGAAGACGATCAGCCGAGCAACAGTGCAGTTCTCAACACTCCCGGTCTACCGCCAGCGCCTCATTCAACGTACAAGAATCGTGCGAACGTGGCGATCAACACCTTGCAGGACGGGCTTGAGCTGGGGCAACACATGCATCCAAGTCAGCTCGGTTCCGTGTCTCCTCAGGCCATCACTCGCCTGCTCTCGAAGGCTCCGAGTCCTCATGGACACGCGTTTCGATGCCCACCGTCTCCACAGCAAACCCTTCGGGTGAACAAGCATCTGGCTGGCGTGGTTGGCTACATGCCTTCAGTGGACGAGACCTCGTCCATGTCTGGTCAGACGCCTATCAATTCTCCTCGTGAGGTCAAGAACAACGACAATTTTGAACTGGAACGCGAGGTCGATGCCTCGATGGCGTCGTCCACAAAAGAGCTGAATGCCTGCAACATCTCGGAGGCCGGAGCGCTGTTTAAACAGGAGGCACTTGTCCGAGAAGCTACCGTCACTACCTCCATGAGTCTCGCTGTGAGAGACGTTGGAAGTGCTGAAAACGTAGCCACGGCTCAACGACACCAGCATCGCTTCGTGTCGCCTCCGCTTGTGTCTGGATCGAGGGATACGATGCCCATTCGCCTCCGTCGGAACTCACCGCCGGAATTGTTTCTACGTGGCTTCGCTCGAGGACACTTTCGAGAACTCTCGAAAGGAGACGTCGGAGGCAACACCAGTGGCTTTGACGGGATCAATATCCTCGGTCGCTCTCCTCCACTTCTCCCACAATCAGTTGGGGCTCGAGACGACAAGCCCGGTCTTCCTATCAACCGCACGTTGACTGAACCTCTTGGAGCTGAGGCTCAGAGCAAAGGAGAGCAGCAAGCGACCAGTGCTCCACCTCCTTCGTACAGTGATCTTGTGCCACGTTCGACACGCTTCTTGACGGCGTTACCGGCTCGCTTGGTGCTCTCGAACATCGAAAACGCTTTGAAGGCCACCCCTTGTCCACTGCCGTACGAGCATCCGGAAGTTTTGCAGAATGTGGCCATCGATTGGGACACGTACCAGCTCGAAGTGCGGTATACTGGTCTCCTGACCTGCACGGTGCAAGTTTTCCTGTTCCAGCGCGGTGTTTATCTTGTCGAGTTCCGACGTGGCCACGTACGTGCATTTGTATGATATCTATTGTTGTGGGCTTATCTGACCTAGAATGTTACATTTGTTACAGGTGGATATCTTTCAGTTCAAACGCTTTTACGAAAAGATCCGTGCGCAGATCTCGGAAGGTATAGACGGAGGCTCGGAACGACCTGCACCGGCATCCCGCAAACGCAACAACTCCGTCTCCGAGACGTTTTAAAGTGAAGACTTCGGTGCCGGATCCTTATACGCTCACTCATCACACAAATTCACTCCAACGTTTTTCGTTTTTCGCTAGTAATTACCAATGTGATAGTATTATTTTACCTTGCTAGATAATGATACCCCACAATTTATAGCAGTGTGGTGTTACGTAGCGTTCAAATATTTCATTACTTCAGTTGCGCATTCTTACTATGCTTACCACGAGGCTTGTGCCGCTTTTTGAGCGATTTGAGGTAAGGTTCGGCTAGTGATTTCGCGGGCGGAGTTCTTCCCAGTGCTGAAACTTCAGCAAGACTGCCGGATGTGCTTGGCTGAACGTACAGTGGTATGGGATTCTTCTTCTTCCGACGAATGTAGGGGAGTGAAGCGTTGTTCAGGTGTATGCCCCAATGTTTGTTGCTGGTCACAGGAGACACTGAAACCTTGTGCGCGACTTCTTGATGTTTGTCACGATTGCTATTGGACCGACTCGGGTACAGATGCTCTCGAAGCTCCTCGAAGAATCCTCTACTCGTCTTAATCTTCGGCAGACGAACACGATCATTGTCTCGGCCAGACGTTTGAGGTTGGGGGCTGTTCGTAACAGGAGCTGGAAGATCAAGGTGAAGTTCGTGTTCAACTTTCGAGATAAAACTGACATCTAGATCGGCACTGTACCCATCATTGTTGCCGTATTGACCATCACTCCCATTTGTTTGCAACTCCCGCAATGTTTGCAGTTGCATCTTGTCGATTTCCAAGTTGCCAATTCGATATTCCATCAATAAAACCTCGCGGATTAATTCATTGCGCTCCATCAACGGACTCTGTTCTATTCCTCGGTGGAAATCATCCATTGCTGTTTCATTTCTTGCCAATTGCTGCATCAGCCCCTCCCTGTCTTGGGATAATGACACGAGTTGCTGATCTCTCACATCCTTCTCCATGATGGCATTATTGGCTAGTAAAGTTGTCTCGGTAAGGCCCAACACGTTAGTTTTATTCTCCTTTTCTTCGTTTTGAGGTTCTTGTGCTACAGTTGCAGACTTTGCAGGCCCCGAAGACTGAGTGTCATTTGGACCAGCTGCTTCCTCCTTCGTTTGCAACTCTTTTGTTCGATTTCGAATCTGTTGTCACAAAAATCATTAGTTTTAACACTTTTAAGCGAAAAAAAATTGCTGTTCTAACCTGATGTTCGAGTCTCAGCAATGCGTGACGTAATCTCCGACGCTCTTGAAAACATTCTGTAATGTATTGGCGAGCTTCACGTAGTTTTGTCGTCATCCAGTCTTCTTCATCCGCGTTGTTATCCAAATTTTTATTCTCCAAAGATTTCTTGTTGTCGACCCAACATCGCTCCTCTAATGGACATTGTCGACTAGTTTCTTGTTGCCGAAGAAGTTCTTTTTTCAATGTGGCTATTTCTTTTTGAAGGTTCGCCACGAGGTTGTTCTGGTTGCGTGACATCTGTTCGGACTCGACGTTCCTTCTCAGAGTCGTTTTGATGTTCTTGGCTCTGTTGGCATATTTAAGAGTGTTCAGTGTTTCCTCCACACTTGATGCTGCGAGACTCACGTTGGCAATCATCACTGTTCGACAATTTCCACCCAATGAATCTTTCAGAAGCCTCGTCAGCTTGCTATCTCGATACGGCACAAATGTCGCCCCTTTCTCTCCAAGAGCATTAATACAATTTCCCAGAGCCAGCAACGAGCGATTGATATTCGCTCCTTCAAGTAACCTCTGGCCCCGGTTTTGCGTCACTGCAGCTCTCTCACTTCCTGCTAAATCCACTAACGATAACTTCCCAAATTTCACCTCTGTTTCGCAATAATCTGAGTCTGCGGTAGAGTCCTCAGGAGTCATTTTCTCTTGCTGCTCTATATGCACCTGAAGTACTGCGTGTGATCGCGAAGAGACCGAGTTAGCTGCCGTGTTCTCCTGGGACCGGTACTTGTTGCCTCTACGCAGTAGTTTCATCACATCCTGCGCATCATTTGCTTCCACTTCCGACAATCCTGCAACAACAGATCCTCGAATAGGATCTTCACGCAAATCTAGAAACTCAGACGATGGCATTGACGGTGTGGATGAGCAAGACGAACTGGCAGACAGCAGGTCGCAAATATTCTCGTTGTAAACCTCTAAAAACGAGACTGTCACTCGGTATCGCACACGTCCAGCGGGGTCTGCGTGCACGCGTTCAATATTTCGGAATAAATCCTCCAATGTTCTTGCCATGATGCCGGGCTCCTCTTTTGTGCCAAGCATTGTAAATGTCTTTCCAGCTCCCGTGCAACCATAGGCAAATACAGTTGCATTGAACCCATTTAGCACACCATGTATCAAGAATTTTGTGGTTTGCTGATAAACTTTTTGCTGACCATCATTCGCAGAAAACACATAATCGAACGCATAGCGTTTCTCCCGTCTGCGTGTTCCATTTGCAATTGCAGGAAAAGCAGACGTGTGTCGTGGTTTTCGATGCGAGTGCAACGAGTGGCGTCTCGCTGAGGAATTCGCAATTGGTATCGACTCCGAGCTGCGTGTCAGGACGACGATCTCTTTATTCCCCAGAACTTTCACAATCTCCATGCGATCTCGGTCATGACTCAGGAGCGGACGTAAGCGCACGGTCACCAAGATGTTGGCCTGACCCGCCCACATCTTTTGTCTGTAAGTGTCGCTATCAGAGTTTTCTTCCGTCAGAGTCGCTAGTCCATCGCCAGTCTTGGTGGGCAATTGAGGCAGGAAACTTTTCCGCGAGATCGGTCGCAGATCCGCGACTTCACGCTCGCCTGTCGTGTACAAGGCACCGCCTTCGATTCGAGCATGGCTGGTCATGGGTCGCAGTGTCACGGGTGAGACCAGAAACAACCTCGTGCTCTCACTCGTGGGGGTTGAAAGGTCTGGATTTCGCCCCAGCGACATCGGCTGATTTAGGAAGCGGTGACGAGCTGCTAAACTCTCACAACGATGGCAGCTCAATTAGTGTCCTGCAGTGTCACTATAATAGCGAGCATAATAGATAGTATAGGTTTGCAACAGCTTCGGGTCCTTTATATAGATCGCCAAAAGATAGCGAGTTAAAATAGTGCAGCCCACTACCATCTAAAGTTGATTAACAGGAGCAACTTGTTTTTTTCGATGAATTGCAATTTTCACGAAAAAAGGTTTTGAAGATGCAATTGCCGTTTTACTGTTTTAAGCCGCTGCCAACCATGGACTTAGAGCGAGTCATTAACTAACACGCTCACAGCAAGTGCATCGTGATCCCTCACCACACATTAGCTGCTAAGCTAAAATACATGTCATTTCATTCATGTGCTGATTTCTAATTAATGATTTAATGATTGAGAGCTTACGTAAAAAGTCATAGAGTGCCTAGCTTGACATGCTGTACGCATCAGTGTGAATCAGTGCGCGCCGCTGATTCGGCACGACAATCGATATTTACTGCACTGGCAACATATGCAAGACAAAACGGTTGCCAATGGACGTTGCCATTCTTGCGCACATGAAACGGTGGCACAAACGTCTGCACGCTGAGATATGAGCGTGGCGAATGTTGAAGCGAGCTCGCAGAGCTGGGGCCACGCCATCATAGCGATCGTCGCGGGGACAAGCCTGCGTTTTACAAATTTTAGCGACGCATACTGGACTCAAGTCAATCGGGCCGTTCCAATGGCGAGCAGACCGATGCTTGGCAAAGAGATTGGCATCGTGACACGAGACTCCCGTCGGGTCCCGACTCGGGAGCGTGAGAGTGCCGCCTCGTCATCCAAATCGGATTTGATCGATCTGTCTTTCCATTGGAAGTTTTCAAAGCGAACTCGTTCTTGCTTTTCCTTTCCAAGCCGATCTCGCGGATGTGTTGCCGACACACAATGAAACGACAGTCATGGTGTTGCTTGGAGCGGAGACCGCGAGAATTGTCATCCGTGCAGCGAGTCTCGAGGTGGTGGGGCACCATCATCGACTGGCGCAGCGCGAGCGTAGCCCCTAGCAGTAACACTGCAGTTGTGGACACCAAGCAAGCATGTGACTCCTTTTTTTTTCTACGATGGGCGGCAATAATTGTCATGTGGAGCTTGCACCGCTTGAAGTGACCAAGTGTCGAGCCAACTTGACATCGCTGGATGGGCCGCTACTCACGTCCCTTGGAGTTGACTGGCGTGATGGCTCCTTACAAAACGCAAGTCATTCGTCCGGCAGGTGAAATAACAGCTGCTCCAGATCTGTCACAATAGTTGGCCGCGCCGCGTCTTTGTGCTGACAAGTTTGTGGACTCAGGCCGCTCACGCCTTTGTCCTTCAACCGCCGAATCACTTAAAGTTTGTAAGCCATTGCTGTTGATTTCCTCTTTGTCAAGTATGTATTGCGTTTGAAAATCCACCGAAGCCTTGATTGTAGGTCCACAGCGCTTATATTATACCTGTAGTACGAGTCCTACCGAGTCGCACGTGTGTTGTGCGGCAACTACAGGTTGAATCAACCTACAGTAGTTGGTACAGCATGATGTACGTCATAAGACGATGATCAAATTCTTCTGGTCGCCAATGCTCCAGCCGCATGACACCCAACCATCAGGCGGATTATTGGACGAGCTGTTGCCATGGTGTCAATGGTTTTGTGGGGGCTGTCTTCCGAGTGTCCATCTGCCTCGCCTCGAGGACTGCCAGCAGCCTCTTAAAGGGCGATCCGACCAGATCTTGTCTTGCAACTGCGACTTCATGTCAGTCGCCGATGACCACGTCGATCAAAAACCATTTTGTCATGTCTAACGGCCCCACCAAGCCTGGAAGCCGCGTTGAAGCTTGCGAGCACACGGAGCGCTGGGAAGCGCCGCCCGATCTGCTCGGAGCCGCGGAGCGAAGAAAGCGACCCAAAAATCATTCTTTTGAGCCTCGGCGAGACATTCGGCGGCGAGGAGCCTGGCCGCAGTGGTCAGCGAGTTAGGGTTCCATGTCCCGTCGCTGCACGGTGCCGCTCTCTCTACGTGCGCCTGCTCCGACCGCCTCCAGTGCCGCTGTCATTAGGCGATTTGCCCACAGACAGACAACTACGCACACAGGGGGCCATAATGAACATGCGCGGCCTGGTAGCGACCGTGACGTCCTGCATTGGCGGCAAGGACGAGAAGTTCGCGGTGCAGGTGCGCCCTGCGGCACCCGAGAACGTTTACTTCGTATACAAGACTATGGGCGAGTTCGACGCGCTCTGGGGGTCCCTGAAAACCCTCGCGCGGGACGTTAAACGCCGCTCAAACAGCGACAAAAATCAGGACTCAGCCAAGGACGAGAAGAAGCCCAGTCTGTTGGCCAAGTGGTTGGCCGGCATCGTGGACCACTACGCGTTCCGACAGATCATCAGCGACCTACGTGCACAGGAGAAAGAGACAATGAGCACGCTCAACGTGCTGCTGCAGTTCCTCGTGGCGCGCGTGTCAGCACTCTACATGGAGCGCAGTCTACTACGCGCCTGCACTGTCGAACGTCAACTCGTGACGCTAGTACGCGACTTCCTGCAGCAGCCAGTCGCGGCAATCACTAAGACCGAAACGGTCGTTAAGACGACGCCCAGCACCAAAGAAGGCCGTAAGCGCTCGTTCGAAGAGATGCGCCCCGAAGACGGCGAAGAACAGCGAAGCAGTCTATTCCCCACTCGCAGCAGCAGGGAGCGCCCTGTCAAGACCCAGAAGCTCTGCGGCATGCGCGAGTGGGCCATTCCACCAGTCGGAAAGCTAGGAATGGTGGCGCCCGTGACGTCCCGTCGCCGGGTATTTGCCGAGGTGGAATTTTAAAGAGAAGAAGAACTATTTATCACTTAGGGAGGACGGCATAGAATCGTAGAATAGCCTAGAGTTGGCCGAGGCAGGTCACGTATTTAAAATATGAGCCGATCGCAGTTTCCACAGTATTCACATACTACGTAGTATCATGGTGTCCGATGCGTTTTATACGGGAGCAGACTACCAAAGGAAACCCGACGTTCGGCAATCGACCCAGCAAGGTGATGGAATGGACTGGCAGGCGTCGTCGTCAGCTCCTACGATGGGACTGCGATCCTTGGTCTCATACGCTCTTCAAGGCGTCGCTTTGGACTGGACTTGGCGTCGCAGCTCTTCTGCGCGGAGCTAGGATGCACGACCGACACCAAGAGTGCGGAGAGTTGTCGGATTGCTTTCGCGAGCAATTGCTAAAGATCGAGCGTCCAAATTTGCTCCCGCTGTGCACTCAGCAAGCATCAGCCATCGGTCTCGACAGCGCTCTGCTCCCTTTGACAGCAGTGGCAGACGCCGGCGCAGCACTACGCCGCGTGGTCCGTGGCATGCGGACCTGATCATAAACGAACGCGCCCGGCACTTGCCGACAACAACTGTGCAAGTTAGACACCAACGCAGTGTTGTGCCGACGACAAGTTGTCGCCGGCACACCGATCAGATCAGGCAAACTACTGATGGTCGTTCAAACTTCAGCTTTATGACAGCACTACCAGATCGGGCCACGTCACAGTACAACTATTGTTTCACTACCCTATCCGATCTCAGATAAAGGCGCAGTTGCCGCACCAGCCAATTGTCTGGGCGCTGATTTCCAGTTGCCGCAACCTGTACCTTGTTGACCACCTTAGTTTTGTCACTTGCTGTTGGATACTTCCACCTCCCGACGCAACGTGCTCTCTTTGCTTTCGTCCTGCTCTGGAAAGCCGTGCATTTCGTCTTCAGTCACTTGCTGAATTCGGCTACTTTTTCGTCTTTTTGTTTACACCCAAAGGGCGATCATCCGCAACCCAAACAACCAGCCATGAGATACGTAAATTCGTAATCCCCACACTGGTTTGCGCTGCGTTTATCATCTTCATTCTCTCACTTCGCTCCGTCCAACCCGAAGCTTTCCTTCCCCGCTCCCACCCCTCGACTGCCGCCTTCACATTCACTCTCATGTTCCTTTCGTTGTTGTCTTGCCCTATACCTCACATCAATGACGTCTTGTCATTATATAACAGACGCCTTACTTGCAGTACAAGTTGCGGTCAATAACCGGTGGAATCGGTCGGATCTCCGTGCCCAGCTCCTGTTCGATGCGGTACAAGTTGAAGCGGTCCTCATACGTGATCATGTTGATGGCCAGACCGAGGTGGCCGTACCGTCCGGAACGTCCGATACGGTGCAGATACGTCTCCGAGTTCTTGGGGAAGTCAAAGTTGATCACGACGTTCACCGTCTGGATGTCGATACCGCGTGTGAACAAGTCCGAACACACCAAATGTCGCGTGGCGCCGTTGCGGAACTCGTGGAACACGCGGTTCCGATGCGCCTGGTTCATCTTGGCGTGGATGTAGAAGCACGAGTACCCGAGCTCCGTAACCTTCTTGGCCAACAACTCGACGCGGTTCACCGAGTTGCAAAAGATGATGGACTGGTTGATATCGAGCTTGGAGAAGAGCGTGTTGAGACAGTGCACCTTCTGCCGCTCCTCCACGAAGGCGTAGAACTGCGACACTCCTTTCAACGTGAGCTCGTCCATGAGGTTGATCTCGTACGGGTTCTCCACGAAGCGGTCTTTGAACGCCTTGACTGTGACTGGGAATGTGGCCGAGAAGAGGCAGATCTGACGCTGCTTGGCCGTGTGGTTCAGTAGTTGCTCCAGTAGAGGCTGGAACTCTGGGGACAGCAACTTGTCGGCTTCGTCCATGATGACAGTGGAGCACTGGCTGAGGTCGGCCACGCCCTTGTTAGCCAGGTCCATGACGCGACCTGGGGTGCCCACTAGAATATGCACCGTCTGGTACAGACGCATGATGTCGTCCTTGAGACTCGTGCCGCCCGTGGACACCATGCACTCGATGCCCATGTGTTTGCCGATCTCCTTGACAATGGCCGACGTTTGGAGAGCCAATTCGCGTGTGGGGACGAGGATTAGCACCTGAATGTGCTTCTTGCTTGTGTCTGTCTTCTCGAGACACGGGATGATAAAGGCGGCGGTCTTGCCCGTGCCGTTCTTGGCTCGAGCCATGACGTTGCGGCCTGCGAGGATAATCGGGACGGCCTCTTCCTGGATGGGGGACGGGCGCTCGAAGCCCTTTTCAAAGATGCCCATGAGCAGCTCGCGCTTGAGGAAATAGTCCTCGAACTCGTTGCCTTTGACGTTGGTCACGTCTTCCGTCTGCACGCGCGTGTCCTTCTCCGGCCGCTTGAGGGAGGCCTTCCAGTTCTCCTCGTCGTTCGTCGATTGCTGCTGCGTCATTGTTGCTATTGAGCTCGCTTAAAGAAATAAAAACTAAGATAAAAAAATGCAGAGAGCTTGATGCGGTGGCTTGGAGCTTGGCTTGGTGCTTGTTTGCGTGGATGGCAGCGCTAGTTGCTGCTTGTTGCTTTAGTTGCTCCGGCTTGGGGGATCTTGTGGGCCGTTTTTGGTTTTTGAGGCATCCCCCTCTCCAACACGAAGTTGCTGGTTCAGGGGGCAACTTCCAATGAGCTCGAGATTTGTAGCACCGAACATTGCTTTTTGAGGGTATAATTGGCAACTGTGTGGACACTGGAAAAGCAAAACCACATTTGCCAAGCATACGATGAAAGAGCAAATGCATTGTCTATTCTGTGTCGAGGTCTTACAGACGCAGCTCCTCGATGCTGTAGTCGGGAAGTCCCGGGGCGCGTGGAAGCCGCACACCGGACAGGAAGTTGCTGAGCACACCGTGTACCGACTCGTACTGCGCGCTGGCACGGAGTTGCAGATGCACCAGTTCATCCAGTTGCTGCAGTGCACGAGCGACCTCGGGATACTGCGAGGCGCGCTGCACCAAAGTGGACAAGTGCGCGTCCAGCAACGCGCAGATCCACGCACAGCACTTCGACGCCGAGGGCAGCGACGTGAAGCGTCTGTCCTGCTTCATCACGGCCAGACTCTTGTCCTCGTTCTTCTTGCTCTTCTTCCCCTTTTTAGTCGTCTCTTCTTCGTCCTCAGCGTCGTCCCCAGTTGTGTGAACCAGCAGCAGCTTCTTGCTAATGGCCAGCACCAGCAGCACCTCCTCAAGCTCAAGCTCGCGAATAGCGCGATGAAGGAACACGCCGTTCGTGGGCAGACCCAGCAGCGCGACTGCGAATCTCTCGAACGCCGCACTGCCGTCAATCTTGTCAGCTTTCTTGTCCTGTTTCTTGCTCTGCGTCGTCACAAAGTCCGTGAGCGCAGAGTTGCTGCTCTTGCGGATAAAATACTTCAACAGACGCACAATCGAGCGCTCATCGATGTCCACCAGGTGCACGATCGCGCACTCCAGTAGCGCGAACTGGTTGTGTTTCATCAGCGTCGGCAGCAGCGTCGGCTCGGCACGGGCCGATAACCTGTCGGTACGCAGCATGGCTTCAAGCGGTCCCCACAACTCGAGGTCCGTCGAGTTCAAGCACCGGCGCGTCACGGTCTGCAACAGCCGGTACGACAGCGTTTCTGCTTCCTTCCCACTCTTCCGCTTTTTCTGCTTCTTCAATGCTTCGTCCAGACGACTAGTGAACTCTGCAGCTGTGGGGGTGACTTGAACATCCGACAGATCAGCGAGCAACTGACGCTCCCGGTCGTCGCCACTGCACATGTTCGCCTTCCACGTCTCGGCATCCAGCGTGTCGTTAGTCACGCTGCTGGTGGCCGTCACGTTGCTCCATTGCACGGAGCTGTCGGGCATCGCAGGCGTCGTGGAGCTCAAAGCGCTCGATGCTGTAGCCCCCAGCACACTCACGAGCGTCGAGTTTTTGTTCCTCACGTGGATGAGGAAGGCGGCACGCTCGTACGCTGCCAGCACTGCGTCGCCGGCACCCACACTGACTAGCTGAACCGGTTTACCGACGCCGTCCTTGGTGCTACGTCCCACAACAACGTCGTTCTCTCCGTCCTGGTCTGTAGCCAAGTTGATCTCCGTGTTCGACACGGGCACAGCGAACTTGGAGTCCCAGCCAGTGAGCTTAAGCGGAGTGTCCAAGGGTGTACTCACTAGGTACGTGTAGTTGCCGACACCGCTTACCAAGTAACCGGACGCTGATGTGTTGCCGGCCTGGAGTTTACGCTTCTTGTGCACTGGAATGGTCGAATCCGACTCGGAGGAGCCCAAGTTGGGCATTTGTTGGGAGCTCACGAGTGTCAGAGCATCGGTCAAAGCGTCACGAGAGAAACGCAGTGTCTGCCAAGTGCCGGAGCGGCCGATGATCGAGTACGAGAAGGTCTCGGCGTGGAACGCACAGGACGAGAGTTCCTCGTCGTCCGGTAGATTGACACGACGACGTACGAGTAAAACAGCCCCCAGGGAGCCTCCCAGACGTCTAGGAGTGTTAGGGATCGTGATCTGATACACCAAAAGCTCGAGCTGCTTGTCGCCCTTCTGGTTGGTCTTCTGCATTAAAATTGACAGGAACAACGCGCCCTTAAGTGGACTACGGTTGTCTGTCTCCAGGTAGGCCCACACTACCGACTCCTCTTGGTCGTCCTCGTCATCCTCATCATCTTCTTCGAGGGTACTGGCATCCTTGGCGTCGTCACTGTGTAGTCCTCTGATCAGGTCTTCGTCGTACGTAGTGAAGGAGCCGTTCTGGAACACCACGACGACCTCCTCTTTCAGCTTCGAGTGCACCAACAGTGCAAAGGCCTTCGAGGTTGACTGCAGCGGTGAGCGGCGCCATTTAGCAACGTCCAGATCCGTGTCGCGCCAGACGGCGAGGCCTTCGTTGGCCGGTGAGGCTGTCGTCTTATTGGCCTCCTGACGTCTAGCCTGGCGCGCTTTCTTACTGGCGCCTACGCCTGGAGCGCCGCATACACCGAAGAATACACGCGAGTGCGGATGACGTGCTGCGGCCACATGCAGCGCATGGACACTGCCAGCACGGAAGGTCCAGTGGTTGATGCATTTTCGCGTAGGAGCGCTGATCTCGCGTACATCTTCCGCCGAAGTCAACAGAACCAGGCGACTTCCATCTTTGGCGACAGAAGATGACGCACCCAGCAACACAGCGTCGGCAGCGCGGCCGCGCCACAGCGATATGGCCTGGTCCAGCTCCATGGGTAACCCAAATGTGCAATGCAGTCGTTTTGGTTGGGCCAGAGGCTTTGATTGTTTTAGCCAATAGATACGAGTAACAGAACAGGTTCACCATAATTGGTCAAATATCAATCGACCTAACTTCTTACCGTACTTTTGACTTTGATACCGCAACGCCCCTGTCATTGCCGACATGGGGGATTGTGGTGATAGCA